CGCCCAGCTCCGGACTCTGACTTTGGGTGAGTCGTTTCCCTTTCTGAGTCTCATCTTAAAAACCGGGGTTTGAGCTAGACCAGGGAACACCTGGCACGGGTGCCTCTGCCCACATGCCCCCACCTGTGGTAGACGTGTATCGGCATCGGGGGTCCCAGACATCCTTTCCATGGGCATCGGGGGTCCCAGACATCCTTTCCATGGGCCACTCCTGTCTTGGTGCCAGGTGTGACCAGTCTGTGGGGCAGCCAGACCTCGGCTGATGTGGTGACCTTCATCCGGGGTTTCCAAGGCACCTGCCTCAAGGTCAAACTTGTGTGGCTAAAGCATTTTGGTGGATGTGTGGGTAGCCGACCATGGAGGGAACTCTGGGTCCAGACCGCATGAGTCTGGCTCAAGGGCTTCTGAACGACTGACTCATGGTGTCCTGGGCCTTCGGGACAGCGGTCTGGGCCGGCAGCGTCACCTGGAAGGGCGTGGGTGGGCCTCAGCGTCACTGCCGCCCACCTCGTCCTCCCTGGGAGCTGCTGTCTCAGCAACACAGCCCGGGCCTCCTGCCTCCCTGGGGCCTTTGAGGCGGGGCTGGTGTTGGGCCCAGGGTGGGGCAGAGCACAGGGCAGTGTTGCTGCAGGTCACTTCCCAGCAGGTGAGCCAAGGCCGCTGTGTGGGGGGAGCTCAGGCAGTGGGTGGCCTAGAAGGGTCAGCTTCTTCCCCCAGCCTCGCCTCCTTTGGGAGCCTCCCAGCCCCCCCCCCCCCACCGGGGGGACATTAGGAATGCAGGGTGTGAGGCCAGTCACGTGTCTTTGGCACATTTCTGGGCATGGCCCACTTCAGGTGTTTGGGCACAACTCCCTCCCCCCTGCAAAGTCCTGTCAGCTTGTTTTGGTCCATGGGGCTGGGAGGGGGATGGGAGAGGACAGGGACTCCAGAGAACAGAATAAGTGGCAGGCCCGGACTCAGGGCTGATGGACATGAGGTCTCAGCCACCGTCTGGCCACCATGTACTCCTGGCCTGGCCCTGGAGCCGGAGGAAGGCTCACCACACAGCTGCTGAGGGGACTGGGGCCAGAGGTGGGGCACCTGCCCTTGTCACATCCATCTCCGAGGCCTGGAGGCCCTCACAGTGGCTGCAGAAGGAGCCAGGTGGCTGCCCAGGAGCGAGACGCTGGCAGGTGCAGCCACCTGTGCCGTCCTCCAGCTCCTCCCTCGAGGGCACCCGTGGGGGACAGGTGGGAGCTGCAGGTGGCCTCGGCCCTTGATGTGCTCGGGCGCCTGGCGGTGGGTGAGTGGCTGTGGCGGCTGTGTGGGGCGCCCAGGTGTGGGCTCCCTTCTTCCTCTTCAACTTGGCAGTTTCATTTTGTCCTAGAAAACAGATTTCTCCCAAGGGCAGGCTTTGGCGAGCAGTGGCTCACACAGTCAGGGTAGTCTGCCCCGTCCTGGGGGTGGGGCCAGGCTGCCACAGGGTCGGGCCGCCCGGGGGGAGCAGACTCAGCCATGCTGCCAGCCTGTCCTTGAAGGACAGGAGGGCTGCACCCTCAGGGCCCTGTCCCGGCCCCGTCCGGCCCTGGAGCCAGGTCACCGAGTCAGCCCGGAGCTATGTCCGGGTGTGCCCTCCTCCTGGCCTAGGGCTTATCCTGGGCAAGGGCTGTGTTGCTGGGGCATTCCCTGGCACCCCCACTTCCTGTGCTGACTTGTGGACAGGATCTGGGCAGCACAAGGACAGGCAGCTCCTTCAGGCTCCTGGGGGTGTGTCCAGGGAAGAGCCCGGCGCCAGCCTGGGGCAGGAGGCCGGAGGAGGCTGGCAGCCCTGGTGGGCTGTCACGGAAGCCATTCAGGAGTAGGTTTCCTTGGGAGCGGACATTGTTCCTGTGACCTCCTTCCAGCAGCTTGGGGCAGGCTGGGCCATTCCTGGGCACCACGGCGGGTCAGTATCCGCCCAGCCCTCTGGCCTGGCCCTGCTGTGACTTCCGCCCGCCAGGCTGCCAGTAGCTCCCACAGCCTTTGTCCAGGGACTCTCCCTCCTTCCTCGCCTGGCTCCGCTGCAGGCTGCAGCCTGCCCTCGCCGGTGGGCACCTTGACCGGGTGAGCGGGAACAGCCGGAGGAAGCAGAGGGCACAGCCCGGGCTTGGGGCACTGGGAGCCTGGGGTCTGGTGTGGCAGCTGAGTGCCCTGTGGCCCCTGGAGGTCTCCCAGCAATCGAGGATGGGCCTGCTGGATTCGACTGTGCCAACCAGGGGCCCCTGAGCCTCAGGCAGGGGGCGCGTGCTGGCGTTTCCTCTTCCCGGGTGGTGCCCCCCGCTGGGCAGCTCAGCAGACACAGGCCGTCCATGTGCTCCGGGCAGCAAAGTGAGGCTGTGTCAGTGCAGGGCGGCAGACCCTCCTCGCTCCCACCTCCTGGCCGAACCTGCTCATGACCCTTTGCTTGCTGCCCCTCCTGTGACCAGGCACATTGTGGGCACTTGGCTGGGAAGGTCCCTGGTTTTGCCTGCGCAGCCTCTGTCACTTCCTCCAGTTGGCCCTGGTCTCTCCTTTGCCCCTGCTGTCCCTCCTGTCTTCCCAGAGTACCCGTCCCTTCTGCCATCAGATTCGGCTGGGCTGCCCCCTTCCTGCTCCTGCTCAGATCCCACAGCCTCCTCTGGGAGCTGCCGGAGCACTCCCAGCCCCCCACCCCAGTTTGCGGCTCCTGCTGCACCCCCAGGTCTCCGTATGCTCCTGTCAGAGCCCTTGGCCTGCACATTCCCACTGGCTCCTGATAAGTGTTCAGGGCTCCGAGGCCAGGCCCAGGCCCATCTCGTGTGCACTGGACACAGCGCCTGTGCACAGTGGGTGTGCGGGGTGTGCGGGGGGTGTCTGCGACTGGGCCCAGTCCTCTTCGGTCCCTGCGCCTGCCTGACCCAGGACAGAGCTGGTGGTTCTCCAGGGCCCTCCAGAGATTCGAGGATGGGCTGGGCCCCCACCGGGATCTTGTCTGCTCGGAGAGACGCGTGTGGGCTGCCCTGCTTCCAGGCTGGTCTGCTAGGTGATGGTCTCACTGCGGTGTTACAGATACGCTTTGATGTTGTGAAATCATAGGTGGGTCGAGTGCAGAGACAAGTGGGTTCTGCGTGGTTAATTACGAAGACGCAGTCATCCCTCGCCACCCTCTCCCTCCCACGTCAGCCACTTCTCACTCCCAAAGCACCTCTTCCCTGAGGAGCCTTCCCCTGCTGCTCGGGACCCCCAGCATCACATGTTTGTACTGACTGCCACACACGTGCGTGCACTCACGCCTCACAGGCTCACGGGCACCCCAGCACAGTGCAGGTGGCGGCGTGTGCTCGGGTGGGTTCCCCCACAGCTGCGCACACGCCGGGAACGGAGCCTCCCTGTCCTGCCAGCTGGTGTCCCCGAGTTCGCAGTTGGCTCTGCCTGCCTCGTGTTCTCTGTACTTTCTGGCCACTTAATCCTCACCCTCCTCTGGGGTCGCCGTCTTATTACCTGCTTCACATCAAGGGCCTAATGTCTCTCCTTCCCCAGGAGGTCTCTAGAACCTTCTGCCGGCCCCACTCTGTCGATTGCCCTCCTGGCCCGGGCAGAGCCTCAGCCCTGGCCCTTTGCCCACCTCCTGCCTCAGCAGCCGCATCTCCCACTTCCTAGATTGTCCCCCTCGAAGAGCACGCCCCGAGTGCTTTCCTGCGAGCAGACCCCAGGTCCCCCGTCTTCCTGGCCCTCAGTGGGGCCTCCTGGGGCCTCCTGCTGGAGCTGCTGGGCCTCCACCTGCTCTCGCCCAGCTGCTTGCTCGGGCGCTGTCCACACCCAGGGTCCTGAAGTCTCGCCAGGTCATGCCCATCCCCGGCCACGTTGGCTCCTGTCAAACTCAGAGGTGTTCATTGCTGGGTATTCGCCTTGACTGTCGCTCGGTTGTAGGAGCTCCTGGCCGATTCTGGGTTTCACTGCGGTTTTCTCCTTTTGTCTGCTTTCTGGGGCACTCCTTCACCTCCTCTCCCCTTCCCCCGAGTTCTTCGCTCTTCCTGCTCGCCCCTGTGTTCCTTTCTCAGTGCTCGTCTGTGTTCTCTGAAAGCCCTTCCGTAGAGTCCATCAAGGTCTCAGCGTGTGCTCTGAGGGTCCCGGGTCCCTGAGGCCCTCCCTCTGCCAGCCGCCCCGTGGGGCCGATTTCTTCGCGTGCTGCACCCAGACGGTGCTGTGCGGGCGGAGTGGAGCGCAGCCTGCCCGGGGACTCACCGAGTGGAAGAACTTACCACGCGCTCTTCTTACCGTGTGGTTCTTTTGAGAAATGGAGTAATTTTCCGTGAAGAGATGTTACTTATGTCAACAGATATTATTGATGGTTATTTTCAAATAAATGAAGTATGTCTTAAAAAGTTCGTTTAAATTTCTAGTGCAGTAAACAGCGATGGATATAATCCCCATAAACCACAGCTCTTTAAGGTCCTTGGTAATTCCTAGGTGGGGCCCAGACGTCTGGGCCCCACCAGGCAGATGCTCTCCTGGGCTGCCCTGTCCTAAGTGGCCGGACGGCCTGGGCTGTGCAGGAGCAGAGCAGGGCTGGGGTCCTGGTGGCCCAGCTTGACGCCGGGGCTTGGGCCAGCTCCTGGCCTCTGGGACACGCACTCCGTCTGCCTGCTGAGGGTGTTGTGAGGGCGAGTGGAGCAGGGGCTGTATAGCGCCGAGAGCTCCGCCCACAGACCTCCGCCTCCGCAGCCGACAGGCTGTCAGCACGCGGCCCATCAGACCGGCGCCGGAAAGGCTCATGGACAGGGTTGCGGGCCCAGGTGTCCCAGCGGCGAGTGCATAGGCCCAACAGGAAAGCTGGTGACACTGGAGGTCACAGGTGACAGTTTTCAGGCTGGAGAGGTGCACACCGCCTCCCCGGAGCTGTGGGGCACGGGGGTGCAGACTGGGTGGCACCTGCCTGGCAGCGAGGTGGGCACACCATCTGTACCTGCAAACTGAGCACTGACCCTCTCCTCCCTCCCTGCCCTGGTTTCTGTTCCCGCCAGCTCCGTGGGAAGGTGGTCCTGCCCTCTCGGGAAGATGTCCTATGGATCCATCACCGGCAGCAGCGGACTGGGGAGCCGTGGCCCTTTCGGGGGACCCTCGAGGCAAGGCTATCAGCCCCTAGGTAATGACAGTGGCTGGCTACGTGGGTGGGGTGGAGGGGGGACAGCGTGGGCAGGGCTCCATCGTGTTGTGTTGTATTGGTGGCCATAAATGGGTTCTGTCCCTTCGGTGGTACTGCCTGTGACCAGGGGTGACGCCGGGCTGGGGCAGGGCTGAGGTGTTGGTTTTTCTCTGTGTCCCTCCACAGCACCCGCTGAGACCGCAGCTCTTGAACCTGCTTGGTGGAACTGTGTGTCTGCCTTATTCGGTGCTGGTTCTGCTCTCGAGTCACCGGTGTGCTGGCTCCCAGGGCGAGCAGGTCACGGGACACAGCCACTCCCTGTTTCCCTCCTCTGCGCGTTTGGTGACGTACGTGCCCCATGGTGCCTGCACCTGGTCCGTGTGCGAGGTCGTCGTGGTGGCCTGTGTGGGCCTCCTACAGGGCGGTGCTGGGGCCTGTGGGCCCTGCAGCCTGGTGGTGCTGGCGGGACTTGTGCCCAGCACACCCTTCCGGGGTCGCACGTGCCCTCTGCTCCCACCCTGTCAGCACCACACGGCAGCCTGTGGGCGCAGCACGGTCTTTTCCGGTTCAGTCTTGCATTTCTCTGGAAACTAATGGTACAGGCCACTTTTTCCTGTTTACCAGGCATTTGGGTCTCTCCAGTTAACTCCGATGTTCTCTTGAGTTTGTCCTGTTCTTAGTGAATTGCAGGGTGTCCTGTGTGTCCGGGCAGGGGGAGCGGCTCGCTCGGCGGGAGGGCGCCTGCGGGCCGGAGCCTCCATGTGACGCGCTCCGTGGCAGGCCCTGCCGCTGTGGCTCACGGTTCTCAGCCTGGTTCAGTGAGTTCTGTCACAGACGGCAGCGACGTCACTTTACTTTCCTCTAGAGCTGACGCACTTTCCTGTTTCAGTCCCCCAGTCAGTGGGTGTCCCTGAGAGAGGGGCCCCTTTGCCTCCGACCAGAACCCCACCCTCACACCCCGCCCGTCTGCACCCAGGGTCCCGTTGTGTCGCCGCTGCACCCACAGGTCCCAGTCATTGCTCTGTGCCTTGCAAGTCGCTCTCTAGATTTTTTTTTTTTTACCTCCAAGTGTATTTGTGAAGGAACCAGGTCCCCGAGGAGTGTGATGGATCCCGTCTGCTGACTAAGCCCTGCTTTGCTGCAGACTCTGTAGCGTGGTCCTTGCAGAATCGAGTTCCGCTGTGTACATGATGGCATCCTTTGTGGGTGAGGACGTTCCCCTCTGCTTTTCTCCGTCATTTCTCGTTCCTTCTTCCTGCTGAGTGGGAGCGGTGATTATGCTCTGTGAGTGTTCTGTGTGGGAGGAGTTTTGCTTACCAGTCAGTTTCTCTAGTTGTAAAAAGGATCAGGCTGTTTCCTCTTGGGTCCGTTTTGTTACATCGTGTTGTCCAGGACACTTGTCTGTTCATGTCGTTGTTCATGGTGTGGGAACCGGATCGTGCAGAGTAGCTTCCAGCCGTGGTGTCACGTGGGGCAGTGGCCGCGTGTGGTGGGGGGAACAGCCCGGGCCGTGGCACTCAGGTTCCAAGCCGCTTGTTGGCTCTGATCTGACCACCCGAAGGGGCCGCGCTCGCTGGGGGCCGGGAGGGGGTGCGGCCGGTGTTACGGACTTCGTCACCTTCTACTTATGTTCTCATATCACTTATCATATGCCCCTCTTTTCCTGTTTTACAATCGACATGGACAGAGATGTGGCGTTCGTATTTCTCCAGAGAACTGAGTTTTGGCACTCGATCCCCCCGTTATGTGTTGGTTTTAAAATTTGATTTCTGCTCACTTTTCTATTTCTGCCCCTTTCTTTGCATTGAACCGTTTATTTTCCTGACTCCTGAGTTGCATGTTTACCTCATTCATATTGAACTTTTATTTTATCCTAATGAAAGTATTTAAAGTTATTAAAAGATCACTGTTCTAGTTGAACGTCAAACATTTAAAAACGTACGTAGCCCGGCCAGTGTGGCTCAGTGGGTTGAGCATCGTCCCATGGATTGGGGGTCCTGGTTTGTTTCCGGGTTGGGGCGCATGCCTGGGGTTGTAGGCTCGATCCCTGGTGGGGGGCATGCATGAGGCAGCTGATTGATGTTTCTCATATCGATGTTTCTAACTCTCTCTCCCTTTTTCTCTCTTTAAAAATAAATAAATAAATAAATGAATAAAACATGTAGTATTCTTATTGGTAAGTTGCAAATATTTTGTTATTTTCATTATGATTTTTTGTTGTCGTTAATTCTCACCCGAGGATATTTTTCCATTGATTTTTTTTTTAAGGCAGAGTGGAAGGGAGGAAGGGGGATCGTCATGATTTCTGGACCCAGGACTCATTTAGGAGGGTATTGATGGTCTCTAAACCGTTTTCCAGATGGTCTCTGCCTTCACGACGTTTTCTCAGAAAAGGTTTGCGTTGTTCCAGTGCAGGCACAGTCCTGGGGACGCCGGGAGGCTGGTGTGGGTCTGGTCCCCGTGCTCTCTGGGAGTGACCGGTGGCTCCCGGGAGGCTGGTGTGGGTCTGGTTCCCCTCGCTCTCTGGGAGTGACCGGTGGCTCCCGGGAGGCTGGTGTGGGTCTGGTCCCCGTGCTCTCTGGGAGTGACCGGTGGCTCCCGGGAGGCTGGTGTGTCTGGTTCCCGCGCTCTCTGGGAGTGACCGGTGGCTCCCGGGAGGCTGGTGTGGGTCTGGTCCCCGCGCTCTCTGGGAGTGACCGGTGGCTCCCGGGAGGCTGGTGTGGGTCTGGTTCCCGCGCTCTCTGGGAGTGACCGGTGACTCCCGGGAGGCTGGTGTGGGTCTGGTTCCCCTCGCTCTCTGGGAGTGACCGGGTGGCTCCTGGGAGGCTGGTGTGGGTCTGGTTCCCGCGCTCTCTGGGAGTGACCGGGTGGCTCCTGGGAGGCTGGTGTGGGTCTGGTTCCCGTGCTCTCTGGGAGTGACCGGTGGCTCCTGGGAGGCTGGTGTGGGTCTGGTCCCCGTGCTCTCTGGGAGTGACCGGTGGCTCCCGGGAGGCTGGTGTGGGTCTGGTTCCCCTCGCTCTCTGGGAGTGACCGGTGGCTCCCGGGAGGCTGGTGTGGGTCTGGTTCCCCTCGCTCTCTGGGAGTGACCGGTGGCTCCCGGGAGGCTGGTGTGGGTCTGGTTCCCGTGCTCTCTGGGAGTGACCGGTGGCTCCTGGGAGGCTGGTGTGGGTCTGGTTCCCCTCGCTCTCTGGGAGTGACCGGTGGCTCCTGGGAGGCTGGTGTGGGTCTGGTTCCCGTGCTCTCTGGGAGTGACCGGTGGCTCCTGGGAGGCTGGTGTGGGTCTGGTTCCCGTGCTCTCTGGGAGTGACCGGTGGCTCCTGGGAGGCTGGTGTGGGTCTGGTTCCCCTCGCTCTCTGGGAGTGACCGGTGGCTCCTGGGAGGCTGGTGTGGGTCTGGTTCCCGTGCTCTCTGGGAGTGACCGGTGGCTCCTGGGAGGCTGGTGTGGGTCTGGTTCCCGTGCTCTCTGGGAGTGACCGGTGGCTCCTGGGAGGCTGGTGTGGGTCTGGTTCCCGTGCTCTCTGGGAGTGACCGGTGGCTCCCGGGAGGCTGGTGTGGGTCTGGTTCCCCTCGCTCTCTGGGAGTGACCGGTGGCTCCCGGGAGGCTGGTGTGGGTCTGGTTCCCGTGCTCTCTGGGAGTGACCGGTGGCTCCTGGGAGGCTGGTGTGGGTCTGGTTCCCCTCGCTCTCTGGGAGTGACCGGTGGCTCCTGGGAGGCTGGTGTGGGTCTGGTTCCCGTGCTCTCTGGGAGTGACCGGTGGCTCCTGGGAGGCTGGTGTGGGTCTGGTTCCCGCGCTCTCTGGGAGTGACCGGTGGCTCCTGGGAGGCTGGTGTGGGTCTGGTTCCCGTGCTCTCTGGGAGTGACCGGGTGGCTCCCGGGAGGCTGGTGTGGGTCTGGTTCCCGTGCTCTCTGGGAGTGACCGGTGGCTCCTGGGAGGCTGGTGTGGGTCTGGTTCCCGTGCTCTCTGGAGTGACCGGTGGCTCCTGGAGGCTGGTGTGGGTCTGGTTCCCGCGCTCTCTGGGAGTGACCGGTGGCTCCTGGGAGGCTGGTGTGGGTCTGGTTCCCGCGCTCTCTGGGAGTGACCGGTGGCTCCTGGGAGGCTGGTGTGGGTCTGGTTCCCGTGCTCTCTGGGAGTGACCGGTGGCTCCTGGAGGCTGGTGTGGGTCTGGTTCCCGCGCTCTCTGGGAGTGACCGGTGGCTCCCGGGAGGCTGGTGTGGGTCTGGTTCCCGTGCTCTCTGGGAGTGACCGGTGGCTCCCGGGAGGCTGGTGTGGGTCTGGTTCCCGTGCTCTCTGGGAGTGACCGGTGGCTCCCGGGAGGCTGGTGTGGGTCTGGTTCCCCTCGCTCTCTGGGAGTGACCGGTGACTCCCGGGAGGCTGGTGTGGGTCTGGTTCCCCTCGCTCTCTGGGAGTGACCGGTGGCTCCCGGGAGGCTGGTGTGGGTCTGGTTCCCGCGCTCTCTGGGAGTGACCGGGTGGCTCCCGGGAGGCTGGTGTGGGTCTGGTTCCCGTGCTCTCTGGGAGTGACTGGTGGCTCCTGGGAGGCTGGTGTGGGTCTGGTTCCCGTGCTCTCTGGGAGTGACCGGGTGGCTCCTGGGAGGCTGGTGTGGGTCTGGTTCCCGTGCTCTCTGGGAGTGACCGGTGGCTCCCGGGAGGCTGGTGTGGGTCTGGTTCCCGCGCTCTCTGGGAGTGACCGGTGGCTCCTGGGAGGCTGGTGTGGGTCTGGTTCCCCGTGCTCTCTGGGAGTGACCGGTGGCTCCTGGGAGGCTGGTGTGGGTCTGGTTCCCCGTGCTCTCTGGGAGTGACCGGTGGCTCCTGGGAGGCTGGTGTGGGTCTGGTTCCCGTGCTCTCTGGGAGTGACCGGTGGCTCCTGGGAGGCTGGTGTGGGTCTGGTTCCCGTGCTCTCTGGGAGTGACTGGTGGCTCCTGGGAGGCTGGTGTGGGTCTGGTTCCCGTGCTCTCTGGGAGTGACCGGTGGCTCCCGGGAGGCTGGTGTGGGTCTGGTTCCCGTGCTCTCTGGGAGTGACTGGTGGCTCCTGGGAGGCTGGTGTGGGTCTGGTTCCCGTGCTCTCTGGGAGTGACCGGTGGCTCCTGGGAGGCTGGTGTGGGTCTGGTTCCCGTGCTCTCTGGGAGTGACCGGTGGCTCCCGGGAGGCTGGTGTGGGTCTGGTTCCCCGTGCTCTCTGGGAGTGACCGGGTGGCTCCTGGGAGGCTGGTGTGGGTCTGGTTCCCCTCGCTCTCTGGGAGTGACCGGGTGGCTCCTACGAGGCAGGCCCAGGAGACGGGCCGGAGGGACCCTCACGGTGCAGGAGCAGCTGCTGACACCCTGTGCCGGCTGTGCGCCAGACCCGGTGGGGTGCCTGCGCCCCTGGAGATCATGCACAGCTGAGGGCAGGCGCCTCCTGGTGACCCTCAGCGCAGAACAACACAAGGACGACAGAGAGACAGCGGACAGGCTGTGGACGCACAAAGAGCTCAGACGTGGAGGGAAGCCTCCAAGCTCACAGAGATGGGTCACAGCAAGGGGTCAGGAACGGGAGGTCTCGTGGGCCGAGAAGTCAGAAGCTGCGCGGCTGCCCCCGGGCCCAGCCCCGCTCTCCCTGGACTGAGGAGTCGTCAGGATGCGATGTGGCAACGTGATTTACGAGAGAGAACTCAGAAATGGTGTCAGCACCCGCCGGGGCAGCGGAGTGAGTCACCGTGTGACGGGAGGTGATGCAGTCATCAGGTCCGCTGTGGAGGAACGCTGGGCGACCTCTGCACCTTGCGCCTGGTGGCCAGTCTTCTCACCACGCAGCGTCCGCCCCTGTGTGGACAGCACGCTGTGGCTGCACGCCGTCTCCACCGGTCTCATGGTTGCACTGAAGGGTGGGCCTGTACTTGTGCGTGTTATTCTGTTAACCCAGACAGGCAGTAATGGTCTCGGGGCAACTTCCCCCAAAGCTCAAAGGTCGTGTGATTCCAGAGAGCGGATCTGATGGGCCTCTCCCTTCCACAGGTGTCTGGGGACCGTGTGAGGGACCAGGGGAGGCTGGCAGGGCTGGGGTTTCCAATGACCCGATGCTGGTGTGGTCACTAGGCAGCAAGTGGGCTGCCAGCCTGGCCTGTGGCTCCCTGACCCTTAGGAGAGGCTCTTGGAGCCCTGAGCAGATGGTGACCCTGTGACTGGGTACTGCCCAGCAGAATCTCTTCATTGTAATTCTCACATGAGGATTTGTTTATTGACGAGAGAGAGGGTGGGGTGGGGTAGGGAGGAGAGAAACATCACTCGGTTGCCTCCATATGTGTCCTGACTAGTGGTGCACCCGCAATCTAGGTATATGCCCTGCTTGGGAACCGAACCCGCTACCTTTGGTGTATGGGACGACACTGCAGCCATGGAGCCATCAATGGGGGCAGGGCCTCCTTTCTGTGCACCACCCTCCGGGCATCAGTCACGTGGTGGTTCCAGCTGGAGTGTCTGCCTGCAGGGGGCCTGGGGTGGAGGCCCTTCCCGAAGGCTCCCTACCAAGCCCTTCAGAAAGAGGGGAACCAGCAGGCCCCGCCCTCTTGGGAGGTGGGCCCTTTCCCAAGGCTGAAGGTCGGACACACAGACCTGCAGGGATGCTACTTTGGGGGGTGTTTGCAGGGCCCAAGGTGCCGCTGTCCTGCACGGGGCCTTGCTCCACCAGGGGTGCCCTGAGCCAGGCTGTGGGCAGGCTGGACGTAACTGTGACTATCCCTTGTCCATAGAGTGCGCTAAATGTTGGGCGGAGTATGGAATCCGCCATTCCCCCTGTCCGTCGCCAGAGAGCAACCCGCAGGACCCCTGTGTGGGCCAAGACGGGCAAGGTGATCTGGGGCTGGAGGGCAGGCGTAGGGGCCCGAGGGCCAGGAGCGAGGTACTTCCACTGGGATACTGGGTCTGGGGTCCCGGGGAAGGCCAGCGGGGTGCCGAGCAGTGAGGAGGGAGGGCCGGGTGGGAGCTGCGGCAGGGGCCCCGTCTGTCTACATCAGCCCCTCGTCATCCCTTCCCTACGGATAGCCAGTGTTGGGGTGGGCAGGACCAGTGCCGGGAGGGCTGTCACCCCACTGTCAGGGCCAGCTGGGCTCCGGGCCTGAGCCCCAGTCCTTGGACCTGCTCACGTGGCCCCGTCACCCGAGAGCCTGGGTTCTCCTTGCGGGTGGGCTGCTGAGGAGTCGGGTCCTTGGAGCATGCTTGGGGGGGTGGGCGTCTGTGAGCAGGCCAGCACCGCCTGTCTGCTCTCCTGCTCTGAGGCTGGGGCTCAAGCAGATGGGTAGGAAGGCAGGTGGCAGCAGTTCCCCTGGGGGTTCTCGGCCTGGGTGTCGAGTGTCCTTGGTGAGGGCCATCCCCTGACAAGCAGTGTCTTGGGGGCAGCCTTGGCCCTGGCCCCAGGGACGGCCGCCTCGCCTGCCAGGCTCCCCTGCCCCTGACAATGGCTGTGGGACACGGGCAGGCCGGGGGAGCCCTGCTTGGAGATGGCCACTGTGGCTTGGGAGTGAAGTGTCTTGCAGGATGGCAGCCAGCCAGGCACCGCCAGCTAGTGCTTGGACCCAGGCCTCTGGACGCCCAGCAGGGAGGGGTGGTGGCTGTGGCCAGGCGTGAGCAGCACCCTGGAGCTGCCACCCTGCCCTCATGCCCGGGCCTTAAACACCTGCCTTTGGTGCCTTTCCAGGGCCAGGGGCCGTCCCTGAAGGCCAAGGGACGCCAGAGCCCACCTTGCTGCCCACTGCTGGCCTGAGGAGGGGCTCGCCTGCTGGGGCCCATGGCCGGATGGGGGCCCAGCACCTCCCGGGCCAAGAAGACGAAGCCCAGCTTCTGCCCAAGGAGACGAGGAGCTGGTGGCCCCGGTCAGTGAGCACCACCAGCTGCTGTGCGGCTCTGGGCTGCTGAAGGCCGAGCCCACGCGCAGGTGCCACGTGTGGGGCTCATCCTGCAGGCCGTGGACGCCCTAGGCTACTGCCGCCGCGACCTCCTGGACCTCAAGCTCAAGTGGCGGGACCTGTGTGCTCTTGTGCGGTGCAGACTGGGCGACCTGCGCAGGGTGGCGCCCGGCTCAGGCTCTGGCAGACCCCAGGCCCTGGCCCTCACCCCCGTGGAGCAGGAGGTGGCCAAGACCTTCTCCTGCCAGGCCCTGCCCTCCGGGGGCTTTGGCCTGCAGCCACCCAGAGGTGAGTTCCTGCCCCAGCTAAACAGCAGGCGGAGGGCAGAGACCCGGCTCCTGAGCTAGGTCCCTGCAGGCTTCTCCTCCTGCACAGGACCCCTGCCCTCTCCCCTTCACATGGCCTTCACATTGTTCCTGTGGGCTCATTCTCTGCTGCTAACCCTGTGCTAGCCTGTTCGTCCGTCCGTCCGCCCATCCGTCCGTCCGTCCATCCACCCACCCATCCACCCACCCGTGCACCCAGCCACTTCACCGATACTGACTTCCTCCTCTGCTCTGCCTTGGTCCGTCCCTCACCCAGTGCAGAGCGAGAGCTGGCTGGACAGATGGCACGGCTCCCCCAGGTCACCTCGTCCTACCATAGGGCCAGGACTGCAGCTAAGAAACAGTTTCTTCTGCTGTGTGACACAGTTTTCAGAATGGTGCCGACCCTCCCGTCATCCCGTCCTCCCTGATGTGTGTCTGTCCTGCCCACTCTGTCCTCCTGTCCTGTGCTGTCCTGTCCATTCAGTAAAGTGCTCCTGCAGACTTTCTGAACTCTCACGACCTGGGTGTGAGACCTGTGGGCTGCAGCGCTGGCCCGTGGCTGGTGCGACGCGCTCGGCCCGGCAGAGGGGCCTGCACAGCCAGGGGCGCTGGAGGGGGCTCACGGCTGTGCAGACGTCCTCTCCCCGCGGCCTGTGAAGGCGAGCCTCTCCCTGCGATCTGTGGTGGACTCCGGTTCCCCAGGTCACCGGGCTCGAGGGATGGTCGTAATGTGGTCCTGTGTGGGCACTGTGGTCAGTGGGTGCTGTTCAGCAGCGGGTCCTTCCCCACTCAACTGCCCTCGTGCCTCTGTCCACACCCAGGGGCTGTCTCTGGGCTGTCTGTTCCGAGGGAGCATGTCAGACGGGGTTGTGCTGCCCGCCAGTGCCCGGCAGGGTTCAGCAACCCTCTGAGCCTGGCGTTCTCGCCACAGCTCTGTGAACGCGAGGCCGCTGCCGGGACTGACCATTCCACCGAAGGTGTGGGATGTGCACGCTGCGCTGGCGAGCGCTGTAGGCTCGGTGGTGGGCTCCTCCCCCTCCCGAGATGGCACACCTGTGTCTCCTCTGTCCTGCTGGCCGTCAGTCTGACCAGAATTCGGTTGGCTTCACTGGTGTGTCGGGCGGCCGGACGGCTCCCTTCCTTTCCGCTCCGCGCACGCTGATTTCTGCGCCTGTCCTTCCACCTGCTGTGGGCGTGGCTGCTCTTCTCAGGTCCTCACTTAGACCTGTCTTCTCTAAAAACACGTTTTTGTTGATTTTAGAGAGGAAGGGAGAGGGAGAGCGAAACATTGATTGGCTGCCTCCTGCACACCCCCTAGTGGGATGGAGCCCGAAGCCTGGGTGTGTGACCTGACGGGGACTCGAACCAGAGACTTTTTGGAGCTCGGGACGATGCCCAGCCCTCTGAGCACAGCAGCCAGGGCGAGACCTCTGCTCTGTGCTCATTGCCGTACATTCCCTGGTGCGTGTTCACACAAACACACCCGTGTGCGCTGCCGCTGCTGTCAGACGGCTTTTCTTGTGGGTTCTGCTCGGTTATTTATAAGTATGCTGTTTAATTTGCAAATAATTTTATTTCTGGATAGCTTTCTTTCTTTTTTTTTTAAATTTTATTTTTAATCCTCACCCGAGGATATTTTTTTATTGCTTTTTCAGAGTAGGGGGTGGGGAGACACATTGATGTGAGAGACACATCGATTGGTTGCCTCCCGCCTGGCCCTGACCAGGGCCGGGGCTTGAACCTGCTACCCAGGTGCCTGCCCTTGCTGGGCATCGAGTCCGTGCCTCTCTGGCCCTCAGACTGACGCTCTAGCTGTGGAGCCAGACTGACCAGGGTTCTCTCTGGAGAGCTTTCTGTTACTGGTCTTAGCTGGAGTCTGGTGGTCAGAAGATGTCTCCTGTGTGGTCCCAGGTGTCGTTCGCACGGGGAGATGCGCCCTACACCTGACGGGCCGCGTCACCCCGGTGCGTTCCTGTTGCCGGGAGGAGTGTCCCGGGAGTGCTGTCAGAGTCCTCGGGTCCTCGCCGACATCCTGTCGGCTTGTTCTTTGGCCTCTGAGCGAGGCCGACAGCTGAGGTGACTGGGTCTGTCTGGTCCTCCTTCGGCTCTGGGTCTGCTTCAGGCTGGGCCATGAGGGCTGTTTAGGGCAGTTTGTCTTCCTGACCCACTGACCCTTGACCACTGTGAGAACGTCCTGCGCTCTCCATCTGATGTTGGTGTGGCCGCTTTCCTGTGGTTGCTGCTGTCCTGATGGAGTTCCCAGCCCTTCGCTCGTAAGCACTTTCTGATTTTATTTTTCTTAATCCACACCGAGCATATTCTTCTATTTATCTTCAGATAGAGTGGGAGGGAAGGAGAGAGAGGCAGAGAGGGGGGAGAGTGGGAGAGAGAAACATCCACACGAGAGGCTGCCTCCCGACTGGTTGCCTCCTGCATGAGACCCTGACCAGGGCCAGGGATGAACCGCAACCGAGGTACGTGCCCTTGACCAGAATCGAACCAGTGACTCATTGGTCCGCGGCCGACGCTCTAACCGCTGGGCCAAAGCATCCAGGGCAGCACTCTCCGATTTTATACGTAAAGTGGGCTCCTGTACTTGCTGTGTGACGGAGTTTGCTTTCGGTCACATCCGACCCTCTCTGCTCAGGATTGAAAGGGTGCAGCCGCGCCGCCCACCAGGACTTTGGGTGACAGTGGGCCGGCCTGGAACCTGCACGCCGTGTGGCTGCCACTCGCCACACGTGGGCAGGACCAGTGACGCGTGTTTACTGTAAAGACCAGTATGTTTAAGTGTAAATCTCCCACCTTGACCTTTGCTGTCTCTTTCCCTTTGTTCTCTTTCTCTTTCTCTCTCCTCCTAACGAATGCTGTTGACTGTTTCATTCACCTCTGCCGCCGGCTTCCGAGCTGCGCCCGTCTGTGCTGCTCTTTACCGGTGGCCTTACGGTTTGCGACGCGTACCTTTAGCTCCTCCAGCCGACCTGCAAACACAGGGTCGTCTCCCACGCGGCGTGCAGACCTTGCGGCGCCTGTGGCTCCGTCCTCCTCCCACCCCGTGGTTCTCCTGCGCTCGCGCTGCTCTCGGAATCGATCGTGTCCCCGTGTGTCAGAAACGAGACAGGGTCTTTCCGCGGCCTCCGCGCTCACCGTCGGGCTCTCCAGTCCCTCCTGTAGACCCACGTCTCCGTCACGGCTTCTCCCCACCCCACGGACTTTCTAAACACGCCCTGCAGTGCAAGTCTGGTTGGGACAGATGCTCGCAGCTTTTGTGTCTGGAGTAAATCTTAATTTTGCCTCTATTTTTCCACTGGGCGTAGAATTCTGGCTGACAGTTTCCGCTGTCTCTCAGCACTTTATAAAGATGTCGCCGCACCGTCTTTTGCTTTTCTGGCCTCTGATGGAGGGACGGAGCCCTTCTTACACCTGGCTCTTCTGCGTAGTGATGTGCGGTTTTCTCCGGGCCCCTTTACAGTTTCTTTCTTTATTAAAAAATGTTTTTATTTTTTTTTAGAGAGAGAGGAAGAATGAGACAGAAAATCAGTGTGAGAGAGACATCAGTTGGCCGCCTCCTGCACCACCCCTACTGGGGATCAAGCCAGCAACCTGGGTGTGTGCCCTGACTGGGAATCGAACCCGGACCTCCCAGTCCATGAGATGTTGCTCAATCCACTGAGCCACACTGGCCGGGCATCGGGCACCTTCTAACTGCTGTAAATGCTCTTCTTCTTGAGCTCTGTCATCTCTGTCACTTCTGGGTCCGGTTTTCTGTTGACGGATTTTTCTCGCGGTTAGGGCCCCGTTTCCCTGCTTTCCATATATCCAGTGAGTTCTAGTTGTCAAAGGCATATCACTTGTGTGGGATTTGATGGCGTTCCTTTGAAGAGAAGTGGACTTTATTCCAGGGTAGTTAAGTTACTTGTAGGTCACTTTGATGTTTTAAGGCTTGTTTGGAAAATCTTTTAGGGCACCAGAGTAGCCTGACCCAACATAGCTTTGCTTGGAAGACATGACCTTTCGCTGTGGTCACTGCTTACTGGGTGTACCTGGTAGCCTGTGCCCTGTCCAGGCACAGAGATGACCCTCATCCTGAGGCCCCGCCCAGCCCCAGGGACACGGTAGGCTCCTGCTGTTTGTTCTGGGCATCACAGGAATCAGCCCCTACAGCGTGTGCCCCTGGTCTGGCTGCTTCCCTGGGCGCCAGGGTGCTGAGAGGCCCCGTGTCCTCTGTCGCTTCCCCTGTGGCTCTGTTGCGGGAAGGGCCCTGTGCCTGTCGTCTGTCCATGGGCAGCAGCCCCCTCTCAGGTTCTGAGAACGAACCTGACGTCTCATTCAAGCTTCCTGTGGGCGTGTGTGTGTTTCTCCGTGTAAGCACCCGGGTGGCGTTGCTGGGCCACGGTGGGCAGCAGGTGTTACACTCACCTGGCCGCGTGAGCGTCTCCGTCCTCGTCAGGATTTGGCGGTGTCCACACGACGTCTGGCACGGTGTTTGGACGGAGACAGACGCACACAATGTGAACGAGCCGTTTAGCCCCGGGGTGCGGTCCAGGCCTCGGTGCGCTCACAGTGCCGGGCGGTTGTCGCTTTCTGATTCTGAACCTTGTGTCACCCCCATGCGCTCCCGGCCCCGCGACCTGGTCTGCTCTCTGCCCTGCGACGGCCTCTGGGTCTGGACGCTCCGTGTGGGTGTCTGGCTCCCGCTGGCAGGCGGTCCGAGGCTGGGCGGGTTGGCGCGGCGTCGGTGTCGGCTCCTGTTCGTGTCTGAGGGACCTTCCGTGGTCGGCACAGACTGCCCCTCACCGCCGCTGAGGGACGTGGGTTCCCGCTCCGTGGGGGTGGGCAGCATGTGCAGGCTCCGTGGGGACCTGGGTTCTTGTTCTCTCGCGCGGGCCTGGCAGTGGGGTTGCGGGAGGACGGTGCTTCTCCGTTTGCTTCTCTCCTGCGGCTCTGAGTGCTGCCTGGCAGGTGGGCTCCGTCTCCGTCCCCCGCTCTGCCCTGCTGCGGGGCGGACCAGGAAGGGGCCACTTTGGCCCCCCACTCTGGGCTGCCCGGCGCTTGGTGGTGCTGGCTCTGCAGACATGGTGAGCGTCCTCCCCCCGTCCTCTTGCAGCCACCCAGGTGGACCCGAGTGACCTGCAGGAGCTGGTGCAGGAGACGTCGGCCAGCATCTTCCGCATCAACTCCAATGGTGAGTCTGTGCCCCGTCCCGCCCTGGCCTGGCTGACCTGGGCCGCCGAGTGTACGTTTCGGGCTCGAGGTGACAGAGGCTGCCTGTGGCCTTCCCCCTACTAGACCTCCCTGCAGTCCAGGCTCAGGTGTCTCAGGATGGGAGGGCAGGCAGGTCAGCGTGTCCCTGACCCTCCAACCCCCTTCCCCAGACTAAGGGCAGGGCCCCTGGAGGAGGCAGGCGGGAGCCCGGAAGCCCACGTGGGCCTGGACCTGCCCCAGCACAGCTGGGGAGAGGCGCCTGCCGAGGCCTCTGCTGCAGGTGTGACCAACCGAGCGTGAGGCCCCTGGCACGGCCCAGCCCTGGGGTCCTGGCAGGGACACCGTCATGTGGATGGGCTCCCGGCCTGCCGCTGCCGGGAGTGGGGCCTGCACCCTGGAGCCTGGCATCACCCGGCAGAGGGACTTCTGCTCCTTACGCTTGTCCCCTTCTCTGCAGTGACCTCCTTGGAGCAGAGCCTCCGTGCCCTGGGGACAGCGAGTGACACACAGGAGCTGCGGGACAGCCTGTGAGTGCGCTGGCGTGCAAGGCACATGGGTGTGCACGCTGTCCTCTGCCCACTGGCATAGCAGCCTGGTAGCCGCCAACCCCACCCCCACCTGAGGGCCAGTGGGGCTCACAGGGGCTCACAGGGGCACTGTGCCCCCATACGGAAGCCCAGGCGTGCCTGCTGTGCTGCACGCGTGCACACACACACACACACACACGCACGGGTGTGCACTCACATGGCCAGCCATGCGTCCACATGCACAGTTTTTGCCCCAACATCTGTTCCCAGTGTGTCTGCCACAGACCAGAGCTCTCCAGTGGAGTCCAACACTGTGGGCACACCTGTGGCCACAGGCGTGAGCCAGGTGAGCCGTTTGCACAGTGGCTCCAGCTAGTGGATGCCCAGAGGCTGAGCCGAGCCGGGCTTTGTGGTTTGACTGCCCCTGAGGGGTTCCCACTGGGCATTCCTTTCGAGTCCCCAGAGGCCTGTCCTGAGTTGGGCCAGTGGGCAGCAGGTCAGGCTCCACTGCTGACGGGCTCCTTGGGGCTGGGCTCCTGGGGGAGAAAGATCTGCAGGAAGCCAGCCTCGCCAGCTGGCGTGGGGCGGGGCAGCTCTCTGTCCAGGCCACCCGTGGCCTGGTGTGGCTGGGTGGGTGCACTGAAGGGGAGCCAGAGGCTGTGTCTAAGCCCCGTTCCCTTGGTGACCCCTTGCTGGGGACCCTGAGCTGCTCATGTACCTTCTCGGAGCCGGGGCAGGGGCTGGTGGGCTCGTGGGCCAGACGCTCCGAAGGGCATGAGCTGCCGCCGAGACCGTCCGTCCCTTCCTGGCGTCGACATCCGTTGGAGAGGTGTGGGCCCCTTTCCCAGGCAGCCCCCCTTCCTCAGCCTGACCAGCCCAGAGGAGGCTCCAGGCGCCGCTGGTTCCCCTGAGGCCGTGGGCAGAGCTGAGCCTGCTGCTCGGCATGGAGGTGCAGTGAGCACTGTGCTGGGACATGAGGACCTTCCCGGTCTCGTGCCACGGTCACCCAGGCTGCCTCCCGTCCCCTGCCCCACCTGCTCTGGAGACCACGGGTGTCCCTGCTTGGAGGAGACCCTGCAGCGCAGGGCGAGGGGCTCCGTTGGACTCACCCTTGCGCTCTTCCTCCCCTGGCCGTGGCTGTGGACGAACGGAGGTTGGTGGCCCCCAGCTGTCCTGAGGGTGATAAGCATTGATGGCCAGTCCCATGGGCAGGAGCCCCAGGGGACCAGCGCCTGCCTTGCCAACTGCCCTGCCTGTGTCCGTGCAGGCACCTGGCCGCCTCCCCAGCAGGAGCCTGGCGTTTGGGAACTGTGCTGGGTGCCGGGCTGCACCTCTGAGGCCTGGGCCGGTCCTGCATGGGTTTAACTTTTCCTGCCCTGCTGGTTCTAGATGCTTCGAATTAGCGACTCGGGCAGCACTGTGCCCATCGGTTCCCGTGGGGCTCAGCCCCACCCTTAGCTCCATGCATCCTGCCAGTGGCCTGCCAGGCGGGCGGGTCATGCTGCTCCCATTTTACAGATGAGGACACTGAGGCTCCAGCCAGCTTCCGTGGCCCCTCGGTGGATTTGGGCACATCTGCCTGGTAGCGCGTTGGTGTGGCTCGAGGTGAATGTGTGGCTGGTGGCCAGCAGTTTCCCACACTGTGTTCGCCAGCTTTTCTGTTCTGCCAGGGAGGGCGCGGGGCAGTGCCACCTGTCCCTTCCCTTCCTGCGGGAGGCCGGCTGGGCCTTCAGGCTTCCTACCCCAGGGAGGGCGCAGGGCAGTGCCACCTTGTCCCTTCCCTTCCTGCGGGAGGCCGGCTGGGCCTTCAGGCTTCCTACCCCAGGGAGGGCGCGGGGCAGTGCCACCTGTCCCTTCCCTTCCTGTGGGAGGCCGGCTGGGCCTTCAGGCTTCCTACCCCAGGGAGGGCGCGGGGCAGTGCCACCTGTCCCTTCCCTTCCTGCGGGAGGCCGGCTGGGCCTTCAGGCTTCCTACCCCAGGGAGGGCGCGGGGCAGTGCCACCTGTCCCTTCCCTTCCTGCGGGAGGCCGGCTGGGCCCGCAGGCTTCCTACCCCAGGGAGGGCGCGGGGCAGTGCCACCTGTCCCTTCCCTTCCTGCGGGAGGCCGGCTGGGCCCGCAAGCTTCCTACCCCAGGGAGGGCGCGGGGCAGTGCCACCTGTCCCTTCCCTTCCTGCGGGAGGCCGGCTGGGCCCGCAGGCTTCCTACCCCAGGGAGGGCGCGGGGCAGTGCCACCTGTCCCTTCCTTCCTGCGGGAGGCCGGCTGGGCCCGCATGCTTCCTACCCCAGGGAGGGCGCGGGGCAGTGCCACCTGTCCCTTCCCTTCCTGCGGGAGGCCGGCTGGGCCTTCAGGCTTCCTACCCCAGGGTGAGCGCAGGGCAGTGCCACCTTGTCCCTTCCCTTCCTGCGGGAGGCCGGCTGGGCCTTCAGGCTTCCTACCCCAGGGAGGGCGCAGGGCAGTGCCACCTGTCCCTTCCCTTCCTGCGGGAGGCCGGCTGGGCCCGCAGGCTTCCTACCCCAGGGAGGGCGCAGGGCAGTGCCACCTTGTCCCTTCCCTTCCTGCGGGAGGCCGGCTGGGCCCGCAGGCTTCCTACCCCAGGGAGGGCGCAGGGGAGTGCCACCTTGTCCCTTCCCTTCCTGCGGGAGGCCGGCTGGGCCCGCAGGCTTCCTACCCCAGGGAGGGCGCAGGGCAGTGCCACCTTGTCCCTTCCCTTCCTGCGGGAGGCCGGCTGGGCCCGCAGGCTTCCTACCCCAGGGTGGGCGCAGGGCAGTGCCACCTTGTCCCTTCCCTTCCTGCGGGAGGCCGGCTGGGCCTTCAGGCTTCCTACCCCAGGGAGGGCGCAGGGCAGTGCCACCTTGTCCCTTCCCTTCCTGCGGGAGGCCGGCTGGGCCCGCAGGCTTCCTACCCCAGGGAGGGCGCAGGGCAGTGCCACCTTGTCCCCTCCCTTCCTGCGGGAGGCCGGCTGGGCCTTCAGGCTTCCTACCCCAGGGAGGGCGCAGGGCAGTGCCACCTTGTCCCTTCCCTTCCTGCGGGAGGCCGGCTGGGCCCGCAGGCTTCCTACCCCAGGGAGGGCGCAGGGCAGTGCCACCTTGTCCCTTCCCTTCCTGCGGGAGGCCGGCTGGGCCCGCAGGCTTCCTACCCCAGGGAGGGCGCAGGGCAGTGCCACCTTGTCCCTTCCCTTCCTGCGGGAGGCCGGCTGGGCCTTCAGGCTTCCTACCCCAGGGTGAGCGCAGGGCAGTGCCACCTTGTCCCTTCCCTTCCTGCGGGAGGCCGGCTGGGCCTTCAGGCTTCCTACCCCAGGGAGGGCGCAGGGCAGTGCCACCTTGTCCCTTCCCTTCCTGCGGGAGGCCGGCTGGGCCCGCAGGCTTCCTACCCCAGGGAGGGCGCAGGGCAGTGCCACCTTGTCCCTTCCCTTCCCTTCCTGCGGGAGGCCGGCTGGGCCTTCAGGCTTCCTACCCCAGGGAGGGCGCAGGGCAGTGCCACCTTGTCCCTTCCCTTCCTGCGGGAGGCCGGCTGGGCCTTCAGGCTTCCTACCCCAGGGAGGGCGCAGGGGAGTGCCACCTTGTCCCTTCCCTTCCTGCGAGAGGCCGGCTGGGCCTTCAGGCTTCCTACCCCAGGGAGGGCGCAGGGGAGTGCCACCTGTCCCTTCCCTTCCTGCGGGAGGCCAGCTGGGCCTTCAGGCTTCCTACCCCAGGGTGGGCGCAGGGGAGTGCCACCTGTCCCTTCCCTTCCTGCGGGAGGCCGGCTGGGCCCTCAGGCTTCCTACCCCAGGGAGGGCGCAGGGCAGTGCCACCTTGTCCCTTCCCTTCCTGCGGGAGGCCGGCTGGGCCCTCAGGCTTCCTACCCCAGGGAGGGCGCGGGGCAGTGCCACCTTGTCCCTTCCCTTCCTGCGGGAGGCCGGCGGGGCCTTCAGGCTTCCTACCCCAGGGAGGGCGCAGGGCAGTGCCACCTTGTCCCTTCCCTTCCTGCAGGAGGCTGGCTGGGCCTTCAGGCTTCCTACCCCAGGGAGGGCACAGGGCAGTGCCACCTTGTCCCTTCCCTTCCTGCGGGAGGCCGGCTGGGCCTTCAGGCTTCCTACCCCAGGGAGGGCGCAGGGCAGTGCCACCTTGTCCCTTCCCTTCCTGCGGGAGGCCGGCTGGGCCTTCAGGCTTCCTACCCCAGGGAGGGCGCAGGGCAGTGCCACCTTGTCCCTTCCCTTCCTGCAGGAGGCTGGCTGGGCCTTCAGGCTTCCTACCCCAGGGAGGGCGCAGGGGAGTGCCACCTGTCCCTTCCCTTCCTGCGGGAGGCCGGCTGGGCCTTCAGGCTTCCTACCCCAGGGAGGGCGCAGGGCAGTGCCACCTTGTCCCTTCCCTTCCTGCGGGAGGCCGGCTGGGCCCTCAGGCTTCCTACCCCAGGGAGGGCGCGGGGCAGTGCCACCTTGTCCCTTCCCTTCCTGCGGGAGGCCGGCTGGGCCTTCAGGCTTCCTACCCCAGGGAGGGCGCAGGGCAGTGCCACCTTGTCCCTTCCCTTCCTGCAGGAGGCTGGCTGGGCCTTCAGGCTTCCTACCCCAGGGAGGGCACAGGGCAGTGCCACCTTGTCCCTTCCCTTCCTGCGGGAGGCCGGCTGGGCCTTCAGGCTTCCTACCCCAGGGAGGGCGCGGGGCAGTGCCACCTTGTCCCTTCCCTTCCTGCGGGAGGCCGGCTGGGCCTTCAGGCTTCCTACCCCAGGGAGGGCACAGGGGAGTGCCACCTGTCCCTTCCCTTCCTGCGGGAGGCCGGCTGGGCCTTCAGGCTTCCTACCCCAGGGAGGGCACAGGGCAGTGCCACCTTGTCCCTTCCCTTCTTGCGGGAGGCCGGCTGGGCCTTCAGGCTTCCTACCCCAGGGAGGGCACAGGGGAGTGCCACCTTGTCCCTTCCCTTCCTGCGGGAGGCCGGCTGGGCCCGCAGGCTTCCTACCCCAGGGAGGGCGCAGGGCAGGGCCACCTGTCCCTTCCCTTCCTGCGGGAGGCCGGCTGGGCCCGCAGGCTTCCTACCCCAGGGAGGGCGCGGGGCAGTGCCACCTTGTCCCTTCCCTTCCTGCGGGAGGCCGGCTGGGCCCGCAGGCTTCCTACCCCAGGGAGGGCGCAGGGCAGGGCCACCTGTCCCTTCCCTTCCTGCGGGAGGCCGGCTGGGCCCGCAGGCTTCCTACCCCAGGGAGGGCGCGGGGCAGTGCCACCTTGTCCCTTCCCTTCCTGCGGGAGGCCGGCTGGGCCCGCAGGCTTCCTACCCCAGGGAGGGCGCGGGGCAGTGCCACCTGTCCCTTCCCTTCCTGCGGGAGGCCGGCTGGGCCTTCAGGCTTCCTACCCCAGGGAGGGCGCAGGGCAGTGCCACCTTGTCCCTTCCCTTCCTGCGGGAGGCCGGCTGGGTCCGCAGAAGCGGGCTCAGATCTTGGGCAAGGACAGCCCTTCACGCTGAGTAATTCAGCTTCGTGAGGACCTGAGGGTTGTCTTCTTCATGCGGCAGGTGTGGGCTCTGTCATTTCTGCCCCCTGCCAGGGGACCTGCCCGGCCCCCAGCACAAGCTCCCAGATGGGCCCGTGTTGCTGGGTTGGTGATCTCACCCACTTGTCTGGGTCCTGGCGCTGGCCAGAGTGCTGCTGGCCGGTCTCCGGAGCTGAATGAAGGGGTGCGTCCAGGAGTCCTGGCAGGAAGTTGGCCTGTGGGCAGGGCCTGTGTCCTCAGCACTGTCCCTGTGCTGCTGGCAGCCCTGCTCCGAGTCCGAAGGGCTCAGCGCCCAGAGCGAGGCAGTGATGCTGGATCCGGGCCTGGGGGGGCCTGGACGGTGCCCAGCCCACAGGGGCCCCCGTTAGCCTGCAAGAGTGACAGACGGGCCAGCCTCTTTCGGGCTGATGGAGAAGGTGCCCTGGGCTGGGCCTGCAGGCTTCCCTCCCCACGCTCTGGGAGGTCCCAGCCCTTCCAGCAGGTGTGGGCCGACCTGCAGGGTGGGGTGCCGGCCCACTGCACCTCCCAGTACTCTTGAGCCCAGCGGTGGTCAGACCCCCACCGAGCCAGATGCGGGGGTAGGGAGGTGCCCTCGGCCTTGGGGAGCCGCGGCAGCTCCCATTCGGGCTGAGGTCTGTGCTGGCCTGGCCTCAGTGGCCGTGTCCTGCATGTTTCTGTGCTGGGGGACCGCTCCTGCCTCCTTTTCTGGGGGATCTCTTGCTGTTGCCATGGAAATAGCATCGGAGCTGAGAGAGGCACTTCCTGGCACGCTCTGAAGGGCAAATACCCAAGCAGGGGTGGACTCACTACACTTCCAAGCTCCACCTGCTCTCCCACAGGTGGGCCCTAGCTTGGCCTCCCCCACCCCAGGCTGGAGAGGCCCTCCCCGTCCTGCCCCCCTCCCCCTCCTGCCCCCTCCCCCTCCTGCCCTCCCCTCTCTCCTGCCCTCCCCCTCCTGCCCCCTCCCCCTCCTGCCCCCTCCCCTTCCTGCCCTCCCCTCCCCCTCCCCTCCCCTCCCTCCTGCCCCCTCCCCCTCCTGCCCTCCCCTCTCTCCTGCCCTCCCCATCCTGCCCCCCTCCCCCTCCTGCCCCCTCCCCCTCCTGCCCCCTCCCTCTCCTGCCCCCCTCCTCTTCCTGCCCTCCCCTCCCCCTGCCCTCCCCTCCCTCCTGCCCCCTCCCCCTGCTGCCCCCCCTCCTGCCCTCTGTCCTCGCCCTTCCTCTCCCGCTCTCACCCTTGCTTCCTGTTGGCTGTCAGCGCTTAGTGTTGCCTGGTTGGGAAGAGCCCTTAGGAGGCCTGTGTGGCCCTGGATCCTGGCACAGATTTGGGGCCCAGGGGAGTTTGGGGGAGCAAGCACACTGCTGCTGTCGGTAGGGTCTCCTAAGGAGCAGGGAGGGCCCGAGGTGTGCCTGGGGCCTGACTGGGTGAGCTCTCCTCTCTGGCCTGCTCTGCTGCTGGGACCAGGGCCAGAGCTTCAGGTGGGGGTCAGTGTAGGGCCCAGACCATAAGAGGCTGAGCAGAAGCCACTCAGCAGGTGGGGGGAGGACCAGGCAGGACACACTCTGAGGTCAAGCATGGAGGCTTCAGGGAGGAGGTGACAGTGTTGCAGGACTCGGGCAAAGCTGCGGGCTCATACCTGAGGGACATCTACTTTGTCAGCTGTGTGTGTCGCATGTGGGGTCCTGCAGGGAGTGGGGTGGGCACCGGCTGCAGCTTGCAGGGTCAGGAGGGTTTCCTGGTATCTGCTGGGGCCAAAGCCAGGCCAGGGCCCTTTGCCCGGTTTCTGCGTCCACAGGAGACCTGAGGGCACGGTTTGCCCCTGGAGTCACCCCATCCAGGGTAGTGGTCAGCTGTAAGTAGGCGAGGTCACATGGAGTCAGAAACTGTGCAGCTGGGAGGGACCCTGGGCCCCGCCTCTTGTGTTCCTGGGTCTCACCTAAGACCTGCGGGGCCAGCCCCGTGGGCCCCGGTTCCTTCTGAGGTTCCCACTCCAGGTTCCTGAGGAGTCCTGACCCCCAGGGGGCCTGAGGGGGCCTCGTCAGCGGGCCGGGGTGGGGTGCAGGCACTGACCCAGCAGGCCGAGGCTGTCCGCAGGGCCTGTGGTGGCCACGGTGGGGTGGTGGCGGGCTGGTGTGTGCGAGGGGGCCTCGTCGGCGGGCCGGGGTGGGGTGATGGCGGGCTGGTGTGCGCGCGGCTCCCCGACCTGGACTCACCGTGTCCTTCTCTCCTCTCCTCACCCCACCCTCTGCATCTGGCTTCTCTGATTCCGTCCGCCTGTCCCTCTGGGCCTGACTGGCTCTCTGTCCTCCTCCGTCCCTCGGCCACTCTTCCTTCCGTCTGTTTCCTCGTCTTCTCTCTGCCTCTTGCCTTCCTGCTGCCTCCTGCCCTCTCGGTGTTGCCTCCTTCCTGCTGCTCCTCCCCGGCTCCCCACCTGGGTCCCGCTCCCACCCCACCCCGCCCGCCGCAGGCACGAGGTTCAGCAGGAGACCAACCGCACGGTGGCCGCCAGCACCGGCGCTGTGCAGCAGATGTCCGAGCTGCTGCGCGGCTGCTCCCGGGTGCGTTCCTGGAGGCCTCGGGGGGGGGGGGCATGGGCAGGGCTGCGTGTGCCCAGCACTCAGGCCGCCTGGGCCCCGTGGTGCCAGTGTCAGGGCCTCAGCTGGACGCGGAGCAGCGCTGCAGCCACATGGGGACTGGTAAGCCCCACGTGCCCAGGGCCTTGGGGAGTGTCCACTGGAAGCTGGTCCCACTGAGACGTGACTGGTTGGCACACTGTGGCTCTTCCTCACCGTGGGCTTGCACAGCCGTGTGTGGTGGTGGAGGGGTGAGGAGCCAAGATCAGGTTGGAGCTACACAGAAGCTCCCAGGCTGGGGTGGGCTCAGTCTGTGACTTGAGACACAGGGTCTGGGAAATGGCCACACCTCCCGGGGGTGACAGGAGCTGCCAGGCCGGGGACTGGAAGCTCCTGTGTGTATTTTGGTCCCAGGGTACTGAGACCAGCGTAGCTTTGAGCTGGTGCTGTGGTGAGAGATGAGGGCTGGCGTACCCAGTGGCCTGGTGGTGCTAACTGACCAGAGCGGGCATTGCCAGGCTGCAGGGCTGGCTGGTCCATCCCACGTTTGGCAGTGTCTGGAGTACCCGCTCTGTGCCAGGCATCACCCTGGGCGCCGAGGTGCAGGGCGAACAGGCTGGACGAGGACGGCTCCAGCAGGAGGCTGGCGACCACGTGCAAGGGCTGAGCTTGGGGTGGCAGAGGGTGTGGCTGTGGCTGCGCCCTGACCGGTGATGAGACGCGGCCCTGAGTATCAGGCGTGTGGGCCCTGCAGTGGCATTAGAACTTGGGGCTGGGGTCTCCTGAGCTGCCAGACGAGGGCCGCCACAGCCCTGTGGGGTGTTTGGGGGCCAGGCAGGTGCACTGTGTCAGCAGCGCTGGCTCCGTGGTCTGTGCTGGTTGTGGGGTTGGGTGGTGCTGTGGCCTCCGTGGTGCTGGCTGTGCCGGGGCCTGTGCTGGCGTTTGGGGGTGGAGGTGATGGCGCTGGAGTGATGATGTGGATGGTGGAGGTGTGGTAATGGCAGTGAGGCTGGGGATGGAGGGAGAAGGGGGTGTGGTGCAGGGCTGCCCGGAGGGCACAGGAGTGTGGGCACCTGGGCCTGCGGGGACGCAGGGCTGCAGGGCCGGCCGGGCCTTGGCACCTGTTTATTACCTGCTCTCTGCAGCACGAGCATCTTCAGCTGGACCGCCTGACAGCTCAGCTCTCCGGTGCCATTCAGAGCTATGGGGTGGTGCAGCAGGTGAGGCGCTGCTGGTCGGGGTATTGGCTGGGTGGGTGGGCTGGTATGGCCCCTTGCCCCACACTGCCCCCCAGCAGTGGAAGGGCCAGCCAGTGGGCGTTGACAGTCACAGGAATCAGCTGGCGTGACTGCAGGGTGTGTGCAGGGAAGGATAGGGCCCTTCTGGTGCTGCCCAAGGGACGTCCGCTCTACAGCCTGCCAGGAGGTGGGAGGCCAGGGTCACCCCTTCTGTTGGGGGAGGGGAATAGGCCCAGGGAGTTAGGTGTTGGGGCGAGGTTGTCTCGAAGGTTGTCGGCAGAGCCCAGCCATGCGCCTTGTTTTCCTGCGACCCTGAGGGCTGCCCTCCCCGGGGGCAGGTGGGCTCTGCTGTCAGTTACCATCCAGTCTGACCTTTGTCCTCTCCTCCTGCCTCTCCTGTTCTTCCCATGTCCCTCTTGTGTTATTTCCCACAGAAAATTGCGGAAAAGTCCCGAGCTCTGCTTCCCACAGCGCAGAGGGGCGGCAGACAGCAGGTGGGTGCTGGGGACTCGCCGAGGGCCGTGGGCCGTGGGACAGCGCAGGGTCCACCTGGTGCTCCAGGGAGGAGGGCTGAGGGCAGGGCCTCAGTCTGAGGGGTCTGCCTGGGCAAATGGCCTTCTAAAAAGTTGGCATTTGACCTTCGGCCTCTGGCTGGGCTTGGCACAGGGTACTCGCTGGCCGTCCCACTTGCTGAGCGTGGTTGACTTGTGCCTGCCCAGCCTCCCGAGAGCAGACCCTGATGGGCAGCCTGGGGAGGGTGTGAAGGTGGGGAAGAGGGATGGAAGGAGACGGTGGGTGAGGAGGTGGTGGAGGATGTTCCAGAACTGTCCAGATGCTGCATGTCGGACTGAAGCAGCTCTACGGTAAGTCGGGTACATCTGTCCTGCTTCTTAAAAACCACCCCACGGCACATGATCAAGGTTTAATAAGAAAAGCAAAATGAAATCTTAACACCGACGAAAGCCCGAGAAGGAAGTCACATCATTCACAAGGAGCAGGAAGGCACATCTGACCTCCTGGGAGAAGCAGTGGAGCCGAGACAGTGGAAAGACACCTTGCGGCCTCTGGAAGGAGGTGACTCAGTCCATGGCACGCCGACCTCCATTCACACGGGGGAAGGAGCCTGGCTATGGAGAAACAGGCAGGTGAACTTGAACTGTTAAAGTCAACACACCCTAAAGGAGTGCAGAGGCCACGCACAGAGCGTTCGCACAGTGCGCACCTGGAGGACTGCAGCCGTAATATGTAAAGGCCGCTCACGAATCAATGAGAAAAGGCAGCTTGGTTCAAACCTCAGAAAGCCTTAGGCAGGCCCGCGGCAGGAGGGGCGTGTGCTCAGCACACAGCACTGGGGGGGCAGCGTGAACCCACACCTCTCGCCCACCCCAATGACGAAGACACGGGAAAGCACCCCGTGGGCCAGGAGGGGCGCCTGGAAATCTCACGCACTGTCGATAGGAGAGGAAGGGGTGCCCCGAACACTGAAACACCGACTTGGGTTCCACTGCTCCTTCCCTAAGGCGGCAGAACCCCAGGCGCATCCCAGCGCAGGGCCACGCGTCTTCACCAGACCGCCGAGTGCTGGCACGGCGCCCTGGGGTGATTCAGTCGAGTCTTTATTTTACTTTTTACTAAAAAAATTGTTTTTCCTTCATTGATTTTAGAGAGAGAGGAAGGGAGAAGGAGAGAGAGAGAGAAACATGGATGAGAGAGAACATTAATTGGCCGCCTCCTGCACGCCCCCCACTGGGGATCGGGCCCACAACCTGGGCTTGTGCCCTGACTGGGAATTAAACTGGCGACCTCTTGGTGCAGGGTTGATGTTCAACCACTGTGCCACCCGGCCGGACAGTAGAGTTTTTTTTTTTGTTTGTTTTAGGAGAATGGTCAGTAACACTTCTGAGAACTTATGAGAGATGAGGTGATTTTCAGGAATTATGCGAGCTGCAAGTAACGAGGTGACTGCTGCCCTGGCCACAGGGGTTATTACTGTGCTGATGGTCCACGTTTTGGGGCCGCCGTCTGCAGGCTGGCGGTCCAGGCGGGAGCCGGGTGCCCACCGCCTGCCTCTCCGAGCAGCCAGCCTCTCTGCAGCGGCCATCTGGCCGTGGTTGGCTGCATCCTCAGCCGGTGCTGGGGCCTCCCTGCCTGGCCTGGGGAGAGGGGCCCCTCGCTGTGTGCCCCAGCTCCTATCTTTCGCATGGAGCTGGGGAGCGGCTAGTCATGCCAGTTCTGGTGGGCTGGGCTCTGACTAGTCTCCAGAAACCTGTCAGCTGGCAAGTAGAGTTGTTGGTCTGGAGAAATCAATGGCTTTGGCTACTGGCAGAGCTGTGTCCCATGTGTGTGACTGGCCCTCGCCCTGATCCCTGCCCTCCAACCGGGGTCACAGGTGTTGCTGCACGGAGCCCCAGTCAGGGCACTGGAGGGCCCTGGGGTGGGTGTCCTCCAGCCCCCCGACGACCCCCGGACTCCGTCTTCCTCACGGGAACCACTCGGCCTGGCTCCCCCGCAGTCACGCTGAGCTGTGGTCTTCCGTACGTGTCCGCACGGGCAGACCCTCGGCCGGGGGAGGATAAAGCGCCTTTGTGGATCCCTGGAACTGGAAGAGCATCACAGACGGCCCCCCGCGGTCCCAGTGCAGCGTCTGCAAGTCCTGCCCCTGGCTTCGGAGCCGAAGACCCACATTGGGCCTTTGTGCCGAGAATAAAGGGGCGCTTTCTGGTCCTTTCAGAAGAGGGAAGGGCTGCGGCGGGTCGGCGGCTAAGCCATCTCTTCCTGGCCTGTCTCTTGTCATGAGCGCTGGGGAGGGCAGCCCCGTCCCTGCGGAGGAAGGGTACACGGGGCCCCACCACAGGCCGCACACAGCTGGCAACCTTGGCCTTGGGGGGAGCGTCCCCCAGTGTACAGGTGGGGCCTCCGGGGCCCTGAGACTGCAGGACCTGCCCGGCCTCCCTGGGCTGCACTGGGCTCCCCCGCCCACACCAGCAGGGAGGGAACGTTGCCGCCTCGGCCCAGCATGCTTGTCGACAGGTTTTTAGGTCTTTAGTTTCACATGCATCTGTCCGTGCATTTGTGTACTGAAAGGCCTCTGCTGACCACGGGGGACGAGGGTCCTCCCATGGCAGCGGGTGTGTGGGGAGGACGTAGGCTGGAGAAGGAGGGCTGGGTTAGCACGGCTTCCGGCTCCACCGTGGGCCCGGGCTGTCACCCTGTGACCGAGAGTGGGCGTACACCTGTGGGGTGCGTCACGCCTGTCCCTGAGGCCCTGGTGCTGGTGGCGCAACTGCCAGGCCTGCTGACACGTGTCGCCACTGAGTGGAAGTCCTGATCTGTGCCTGGCAAGGACGTCTGTGTGCTGGGCTCTCGCTGTCTGTCCGTGGTTCTGTCCCCGGGCCTGGCACAGGGCAGGCTGTCACGACCTCCGATTTGTGCTAGAAGAATCGAGACTTTGGACTGTGCTTTCCTGGCCTCGGGGGATAGGGTCTGCCAGGGGACAAGCACGGCCCACGGCTGCCGTCCATGAGACACGTGCTCACGTCTGCAGGGCCACCCAGCTGAGCAGGTCCCCGGGAGCCCCCTGGAGGCGTAACCCTGGAGGGCCGGGAACACGGAGCCTGCTCTGTGGGGTCTTCTGCGTGGCCCTGGCTGCGGCTGGGCTGTGGGTCCTGCTGAATGCGCCCTGCAGTTAGTGCTGGGATGGCTGGAGGTGAGCACTGAAGGCCCGTGTCCACCTGGCAGATCCCTCCCTGCCCACCCTTACAGCAGCCCCAGGCTGGACGCCCCAGGCCCACTCCCCGCACGAGGGGAGCACAGACTCCTGGAGGTTCCTGCAGCTCGTGAGCGGAGGTCAGCCTCGAGGTGGAGCCGCCTGCCACCAGCTGGAGAGGAGGAGCGGCCGGGCCTGGGCAGCAAGGCCCGTGGTGATGCTGTGTCTCCTCGGCAGAGCCCCCGGGCCCCCGCCGCTGAGCTGGCGGACAACGAGATCTTCGGTGGGGGCGGCAGCACGTGGCAGGGCCAGGAGCCGGCGCTGCTTCCGGAGATCACCGAGGAGGCCCTGGAGGCTGTCCGGCTGCGCGAGGAGGCCGCCCTGCAGATCGAGGTGAGCCGGCGTGTGCGTGTGCGTCTTTGTGTGCGTGTGCATGCGTGCCCTTCAAGCCCCTGGGGTCGACAGACTGAGGCTGTCCCCCGCCTGCGCCGTGCGCACGGCCCTCCTGGGCCCGTGGCTGTGCATGGAGAGACCGGAGTGCAGGGAACCCGTCAGAATTCGTGCAGGGTCCGTGCAGGCCTCCCTGGGCTTCCCCAGCAGGGCGCAGCTGCCTGGCCAGAGCTAGGGCCTGCCTGGGGGGTGCATCTCGGCCCCTGTGGCCATTTCCTTCTCTGGTGCCGAGGTTTCCAGGAGCTTCTTTGCTCTGCCGAGGGGGACCCGAACCTGCATTGGGTGGAGCTGGCAGCGGGCGGCCTAGTCTAACCCAGTCCGTGCTGCGCCTCTCTCCTGGCCAGTGGCGGTGTGCAGGAGGCCCCGTCGCGCGTGTGGACATGCACGCAGAGTGCGGCCTTCAGGCGGCTTGACAGGGACACGCGGTGCTGTTCGTGGTGGGGCGGGGCGGCCCCACCGCCCTCTGGGTCTCGGTCTCCTCATCTGCGCAGGAGGGCTTGGCTGTGCGTTCTGAGGGCCTGCCCACCTGAAGCTCCCTGCGCTGTGGCTTCTGGAACGAAGGTCCCTCAAAGCAGCAACTTCTAGAAAAACAGGGACCTGGCAGGTCACTGGCTCGGGACCTGTCCCATGACTTCCATAAACGGTCTCACACTCTGGAGGGGTTTGGCTCCTGACTTCGGAGCCCCCACCACTTCAGCCAGCTGACGCACCTCGCCCTTTTGACCGTCCTCACACCTGTGTGGCGGGAAGACAGGCCTCCCTCTTGCTGAGACCAGAGCAGGTCATGTGCGGAAATGTCTCCATCCCTGTGTCGCACAGCAAGGGAAGCTGAGGAGGGGACCCAGGGGGTCGGTCTGTGAGTGGAGCTGGGCCAACGGGCACATGTGTCCCAGACACGCTTGTGTGCAGGTGGGTGTTATCCCGGGCTCCCTGGTGGGCGGCCACGTGGTGCTGTGCCATCTGATTGCGACCTGGGCACTGAGGGCAGCTCTGGCGTCTGACTAGGTGTTGCCTCACCCTGCAGGTGAGGTGTGTCGGGAGGGCCAGGCCCAGCGGAGGTGAGGTCTGCACGGGCAAGGCCAGGCCTGGGTGCTCCTGCGACAGGAGCAGCTTGGAGCGCTGCCCACTCTTGGTTCTCTCCCTGCTCCGATCCACAGGCCAGCTGGTCTCTAGCCTCCCGTTCGAGGGCACCTCCCCAGCACCGGCCCCAGGTGGGCCTGGCCTCAGGGCTCCAGACTTCCCAGGACCCGAGGGTGAGGTGGCGGAGGCACTGGGGCGGGTGCGGGCAGCTGCAGCCCCGCCAGAGCTCGCTCTGGGATGCAGACGGGGGTGCGATCTGTCCTGAGGCAGCTCCAGCTCTAACTGGTTTGCGCAGTGGTCCAGGCTGGGCGTGGGTAGAGGACACAGGATCTGTGTGGCGCGAGGTGATGTCTGGGCCCCAATTAAGTCATGTCCAAGGGCTGCTTACACTCTCCACTGTGGGCCAGTGGGCGACCAGGTGGCCAGCAGTCTGTCTGCAGGCCTGTCTGCCACCCTTGCGGCCCGTCTGTCCACCGCGGCTGTGCTGGAGCCTTGGCCCTCCGCTGCCTGGGGTCTGGCCACAGGACCCAGTTCCCACTGCCTGTCCTGGAGGCCGAGTCCCCTCCTTCCTGTGCCTCTGCAGCTGAGCACCGCCGGCGTGGGGGCCTGGGGTCCCTGTGGTCACACAGAAGACTTTAGCCCTCTGCTTCATCTGCCGTGCTGCTGAGTTAATCACCTCATCATTGTCACTCTTGGTCCACAAGCATGTGAGCTGTGGAGGCTGGGGGTTCACCTGTCATTGCTGTTCCTGCATCCGGAAGGACGCGGGCTCTGAGCGCCGTCCTCAGCAGAGGGTGGTTGGCAGTGGGGTATGGAGGATGGTGGATGGGTGGGGGATGGAGGATGGATGGAGGATAAGGGATGGTTGGGGGGTGGGTGGGGGATGGGGGATGGAGGGTGGGGGATGGAGGATGGGGTGGGGGACAGGGGGATGGGTGGGGCTAGGTGGGGGATGGGGTGGAGGATGGGTGGGGGACTGGGGGATGAAGGATGGGGGATGGGCGGAGGATGAGGATGGGGGATGGGCGGAGCATGGGGGATGGAGGGTGGGGGATGGGTGAGGATGGGGATGGGGGATGGGTGGAGCATGGGGGATGGGGGATGGAGGACGGGGTGGGGGAGGTGCGGAGTGTGGCGCTGGGTGAGCGAGTGCTCCGTGCTGAGACCACAGATGGTTTGCGTTGATGAGAGGCTCTGCCGTCATCGGCAGCACGTATCTCGTCAGCCCTCGAGAGCGAGACCCTGTGTTCCAGTTGTACTGAAGAGGAGGCCGAGGCTTGAAGCCACATCTCCTGGCTCAGGCCGTGCAGCGGGCAGGGCAGAGCAGGGCCGGGCCGGGCTGTCCGCACTGCGGTGTCTGACACCTGCCCCCGTGTTCCCCCTCCCAGGTGAGAAGAACGTAGGAGCCACTGCGTCACCACCAGGTAGAGGCAGAGCCAGCTCCGTCCCTTGGCAGTGCCCGTCTGGGGCAGGAGACCGGTGAGAGGGACACGTGCCCCTGCCACTGCCCTCACGCAGCAGGCTGGCCAGGCACTGGTCTGGAACCAGAGCCACCTGTCCGCTCCCCGCTGGGGCTGCCCACTGGCCCGAGGGCTGTGCCTGCGCCAGGCTCCCCTGCCAAGCCCATTGCCTGGCCTCACCTGTGCGTGCTGGTACGCCCTGCTCGCCTCCAGAGCCTTGTCACCTGACCCAGGTGCAGAGCTCAGAGCACCAGCTGCTCTGTTGCCATGGCTACCTGGCAGGCTTAGGAGGGAGGAGGCTGGGACCAGGAGGGGGCAGGAAGCAGCCTGCAGGCTGGGCAGAGCCCAGGGCCCAGCCCCCTCCCATAGTTGGAGTTGTGCAGCCGAGTGCAGGGGTGGTTGGGCTGGCTAATATCGAACTACAGATACTGAATAAATTCACACACAAAGTTTGGCTGTTCTGTTAACTGGAACCGACGTCTTTGTAGGTGGATGGCTGCCCACATCCTAATGAGAAGAGATTGCGTGATAGACACGTGGCGGCGTTTTCAAGGCGCAGGCGCGCACAACACGCACGCGCCGCGGTTTTACTGTGCCCGAGCGGGGTCGTGGGCAGTGCCAGGGGAGAGAGAAGTTTCTGTGAGCGCGTTTACTGTGCCCGAGCGGGGTCGTGGGCAGTGCCGGGGAAGAGAGAAGTTTCTGTGAGCACGTTTACTGTGCCCGAGCGGGGTCGTGGGCAGTGCCAGGGGAGAGAGAAGTTTCTGTGAGCGCGTTTACTGTGCCCGAGTGGGGTCGTGGGCAGTGCCGGGGAAGAGAAGGTTCTGTGAGCACGTTTACTGTGCCCGAGCGGGGTCGTGGGCAGTGCCGGGGGAGAGAGAAGTTTCTGTGAGCGCGTTTACTGTGCCCGAGCGGGGTCGTGGGCAGTGCCAGGGGAGAGAGAAGTTTCTGTGAGCGCGTTTACTGTGCCCGAGCGGGGTCGTGGGCAGTGCCGGGGAAGAGAAGGTTCTGTGAGCACGTTTACTGTGCCCGAGCGGGGTCGTGGGCAGTGCCGGGGGAGAGAGAAGGTTCTGTGAGCACGTTTACTGTGCCCGAGCGGGGTCGTGGGCAGTGCCGGGGGAGAGAGAAGGTTCTGTCAGCGTGCTTACTGACCTCTGGTTTGAGCGCAATCAGGAAAATAATTTTATGATTTAAACCTCTACTAGCTAAGGTGTTTTTTTAGTCTCGTCCCCTCATACTCGCTGTCCCGGGCTTGCTCCCGGTTCTGCCACCCCCACGCACCTCAGCGGACCGCTTGATGCCCCGAGGGCCTCATCCCACACAGCTCCAGGGCGTCTCTGCCCCAGTGCAGGCCCCATTCCTTCAGGCCCCTCACCAGCCTGGCCTTGAGCTCACACCCAGCAGTGAGGACTGGACTTCTGCCTGAATCAGGGCTCCTCCCCTTTCCTGGTGGGATCCAGACCTCTGGTGTCCCCCCAGGCATGCCGGGGAGTCGGCCCACCTGCCTTTGGCGTCCTCCGTCAGGAGCTGAGGCCAGCCCAGGCCCCGGGTGCCCAGCACACTGATGGAGGGACACTTGTCCGGGCCAGCTGCCCATGCCCAGACACTCCCACTGTGCGCTGCCTGTCTGCGCCCCTTCCTCGGCACCTCCTCCTCCTGGCGTGCCCCCTACCCGGCGGTGACAGGCCCGCTCCAGGCCCAGCCCCGGCGCCTGCCCCGTTCTGCTGTTCTCACTGGTGAGCTTGTGGTCTTTGTCTTGTGACCTTGATGTCTCGACCTTAGTGGACCCTAAGCTTGGCCTCCCAGCCAGTGGCCTCACCCAGGAAAGTCTGTGGTGATGCAGATCCCAGAAAATAGCCCCAGTTCAAGGCCACTCGGCTCCCCTGCCTGCCACAGACCCCAGAGCCTGCATCCACAGGCCCCACACTCGCCACTCTCTTCCCGGCCATGGGCCTATCCCTGCAACTTCAGCCCAGTAATTGAATTACAATTGATAGTATGTGTCCATTTAAGATCATGCTAATTGCTTCATTTCCCAGAACACTCCCAGACAAGAAAATGAATTTCCCTTTAATATTTTGCAGTGGGGTGAAGTGACCCTTGTGGAAATCAATCCAGGCCCCAGAATGAGCTGCAGGGTTGGGGTGGGCGGCCGGCTGGGATGGGCTGACAGGGAGCGGTGTGGCCGTGTCTCTCACGGGCACTGTTGCTGCTCTGCTGGCAGACGGAGGTAAGATGGTCTGCGGGCAAGGGGTGCCCAGTGTCTGGTCCAGGTCTCCTTACCCCTGCACCAGCTTCATGAAGCCATTCAGTGTTTGGATAGCCACAGGGTGACCATCCCTCACTGTCCCTCTGTCCATCCATTCATCCATCCGTCCATCCATCTACCCACTTACTCACCCACTCACCCACCACCCACCCCGTCCATCCACCGCCCACTCATCCATCCACCCACCCCGTCCATCCACCGCCCACTCATCCATCCACCATCCATTCACTCACCTACTCACCAACCATCCATCACCCACCCACCCACCCACTCACCCCCCACCCATCCGTCTACCCACCCATCACCACCCATCACCTCCCACCCATCACCTCCCACCCAGCCCCCCTCCCCTAAGGACTGGCTGTGCAGCCTGTGCTGGGAGCCCGCAGAGCAGGCCCGAGGTGCTGGGCCTCGTCCCCCCTCCAATGCTCACCCACCTGCTTGTGCAAGACGGCAGCCCCCCGGGGCTGACCCCGGGTCCTCGCCCCCGTGTAGGAGCTCGTGGCCCCGGGGTTCTCAGAGAGTTTGGGGTTTGGCCTTGGAGTCAGGAGAGAGTATTCAGATCTCAGCCCTGTCTGACTTGTGGGCAGACCCTCGGCGTGACCGTGGACTGACCCTGGTGGTTGGCTCGCACTTAGCACGGCCTGGTGGCGTTGTCCTTGATCTCTGCACCTGCAGCCCAGGCACCTAATGCCACCGTCTTGTTTCCACAGAGTGACTTGTTGGATGTGAACCAGATCATCAAGGACCTGGCCTCCATGGTGTCAGAGCAAGGAGATGCCATCGGTGGGTACCCACCTGCTCCCCGCCCACCTGCCCTTCTCCCCAGGTGCGGGCAGAGCTGCCTTCCGGATGAGCAAGGCCCAGGGCAGGTTCTGGAGGTCTGAGCACCTGCCGCCTCCCTCCCCTGGGGGGCCAGGCTGGCCCACCGTTATGCTCATGGAAGAGTCCTGGCTTCCATGCCCCCACGCTGGGCCTCCCTCCCCACCAAGGGGGCCATGCTGCAGTGGGCACCCCTGCGGAGTGCAGTGGGGGTGGGCGTGGAGGTGGAGCCACCCTGGGGTCCCGGTTGTGCTGGTGGCTTCCTGTCGGCCAGGTCACCTCTCAGGAAGTGGGTGTGTGTGGTGGGGCAGAGCTGTGCCTGGAGGGCCGACACCTGCTGCTCTCAAGTCCCTTCCCAGGAGCCGCAGCGCCACCCAGCGGCCGGTCCCACCACACTGGGTGGTCAGGTGGTGTTTGCTGCTGCCCCTGGTGCCTGGGTGCCCTGAGGGGCAGGTAGGAACTGGTGGCCTTCTGACCCCTGGCACCCAGACCCAGTTGGCCAACACAGCTTCCCGCCAGGACCCGGGGACTCACCCAGTTTACTCTGCACCCTGCTCTGTGGCTGAGCTGCTGCCTCGTGGGTGGGCCTGCGCTGTGTCTGAGCCCCTGCCTCCGTCAGGCCCGGGACCCTTTCAGTTCCGAGGTCTGTTTAGGGCCAGAGAGCCAGGGGGCAGCCCCGCGACCTCACCGTGCTGCCTGCACCCCCAGGAAGAGTGAGTGGAGGGGGTGCGCTGTTCTGCCCTGGGCCGCCTGTCCCATGGCCCGGGCAGCCCCTGGTCCTGTCACTCCCCAGAGCACCTGTCACAGGCCCGCCCTGTCCCGCGTCCTTCCGCCACTGGCCACTGTGGGCCCCTGGCTGTGCCGGGTGGGTGTGCAGAATGGTTCCACCCCTGCCGAGGATGCTGAGTCCCAGGGGTGGACTGATCCGAGGGGCGGTCTCGGCTGGGGCGGGGGCAGGGGAGAGATGACCTGTGGCAGCCACGGCGGGCTCCTGGGGACCAGTGTCTGTGGCCCAGGGCCGCATCTCGGCTGACCTGTTCCCACAGCTGGGGCCACTATGCGCCTTGGGACAGTGAGGGCGGGGCCGTGAGCCTGCTGTGCTCCGCTCTCCATGGGCCTGTCTCAGCGGCTCCTGGCCGCCGACGTCCTCCCCCTGCTCCTCAGCCTCTGGGCCTTTCCAGGGTCCAGCAGCAGCGAGGCCACCTGCCGGCGGAGCTCCAGCCCCGAGACAGCTGTGGCGGCCCTGCTGTCCGGGCCGGGCTGGCAGCCCTGCGGCCCGGGGCCCACTCCCACACCAAGACACTCAGGCCCAACCTCAGCCCGCAGGAGACGGAGGTGCTGGTGCAGCAGGTGACGCGCCACTACCCACTGCTCTTCAGGGCGCCGCGGGCCCGCCTGCCCGGAGCTCCGTGTGTGGAGCAGGGTGCTGCAGGCTGCGAACGCGCTGGGCTTCTGCCCGCGGGACCTGGGCGACCTCAAGCACAAGTGGCGGGACCGTGTGGGGTGGTGCGCAAGCAGCTGGCGGAGTGCCCTCAGGCCCCAGCCTCCTCCTCACGCCTGTGGAGCGCACGGTGGCCCAGACCTTCTCGGCTGCGGCCACCCCAGGCGAGGGCCAGGCCTGGGAGCCCCTGCCAAGTAAGTGGGCCCCTCCTGCAGCGGGACCACGGGCGGGACCACGAGAGCAGCGTCCTCAGGAGAGCTGCAGCTGTGGAGACGCCGGCACCGCTTGGCCCCTCTCTGCCTGTAGGCGGCGACACTGAGGCTCATCCCGGGAGCCAAGGAGCTCAGGCTGAGCGGGTTTGTTCTGGCCCGAGCTCGGGTCTTCTGGGGTTGTCCCGTCACGACCAGCGCAGCCTCCAGGGGCCTCAGCACCTGGGTCACTGCCAGCGTCGTGGGCCTCACGCTCCCACCAGTACAGCCAGCTCAGCTCTCCCCTGCCCCCCTGGCATCTGTCCTGAGTGTGGGGGAGGGGGGAGGGTGACCTTCTCCTCCCTCGGACCCCTTCCTGCACTCATCCTGGGGACTCTCCTCTCAGTGTCTGACCAGACAGGGTGACACCTGGTGTCCCAGCCTCCCAGGGCCTGCCCCGGGGTCCAGCCGCAGGCCCCACCGTGGCCTGAAGTTTCTGTGCCTGGTGAGGATGCAACGGGCACTGGGCTGGGCTTGCCCACCACATGCAGCCGCCTCCTCCAGCACCTCCTCCTGCCGCGGCCACCGCAGCCGCAAGGCGCCTCTCAGTGTCCCCTGTCAGGAGCACGGCACCCTTGTGGGCCGCGCCTCCACCTCACGGCCCAGCCCCTCTGGGCCCTCCCTCCGGGGACTGCTGGGAGAAACTGGGAGGAAGCCAGGAGCAGGACCAGCTCCCTCCTGAGGATCCCGGCGTGGACAGAACTGCCTCGTGGGACAGGCAGGCGCCCAGCTGCCCCCGGCAGACTAGCTGCAGCGCTGCTAGGGCGGGTCTGCACCGAGCCCCCGTGGGCTGGCGTCGGTCACGGGCCTGGGCCACAGCGTGGGTGCGGGGGCAGGGCCGGACCTGATTTTGGGGTGCCACAGGGCAGCAGTCACACGTGTGCCGTGGGGCTCAGACCCGTCCCGCAGTTCTCATCCCTGGAGTGTGGCCGGACCTCGGCGCCGTCCCCTCCGAGTCCCCATGCCCCTTCGGAAGCTCTCTGCTGCCAAACCCTGCCAGCCCCTGGGCCAGGAGCGCCTTCCCTAGACCCCACGGCTGCTGGGCCGCCTCCCTTGGGCAGCACTGACTGGCTGCTAGTGCCACCAGCTCCTCCCGGGAGTGTCCCTGTGCCTCACTGGGTGACAGTGAGCGAGCGGCGGGGCGGGGCAGGGCTTCCCGGCGGGGCGGAGACGCGGGGCAGGGAAGCGCTGAGGCTGACTTGGGGTTGGCGGCAGAGATGGCTCCCTTGGGCAGCACTGGCCTGTGCTCGGGCTGGCAGGCTGGCCGCTGAGCACAGCCGTGGGCGAGTGCAGAAGCGTCCACCGGTGCCTGTGCCCTGCGGCTGCTGAGCCCCGGGGCTGCTGAGCCGGCAGCTCTCCTGTCTCCCCTGTGCCCATGCATCGTGGGGTGCATCCCTGTGCTCTGTGCGTTTGGAGGAGCTGTGTGGGCTCCGGAGGCCTGGCCGAGTCTGGGTGCCTGTGGACTCTCTGAGCACAGGCCCTTCAGGGAAGCTCCTGCTGAGCCTCCCTGCGGCTGGACTGGGGCTGAGAGGACGGGCCTGTGCCCGGAGCTGCCCTGGCCGGGTTGGGCCCTTCAAGCTGAGGAGAAGGCAGTGGCCTGGGCTGATGGGCAGGTCCTGTGGGGCTGCACCCTGCCTTGTAGCCCTCGGGCTCAGGAGGGAGCTAGCCCAACGGGTCACTGTCTGATGCGGGGATCACTGGGCAGGCTGAGACCACCCCCAGCATAGCACAAGCTCGGCAGCCGGGGGCTCATTCTCGGGTCGGTGCCCCAATGCCCAGTGGCAGCGTGTGGAGTGTGTTCACAGACCCAGCCACAGTCCCCCAGCAGCTCCGTAAGACGTGTAAGGACCGGGGCGCTGCCCCTTCTCAGAGGCCAAGGCCCAGCCAGCAGTGGGGTCCACCCATAGGGACAGAATCTAACCACCTGGCCTCCACCCTTTCCTGAATGGGGTGTCCTGCTCCAGGGGTACCTCCAGGCCCTCCATCCTGATGGCTTGGGCTGGCCAGGGCCTACACTAGGCAGGCGACCCAGCGTCCCATCTCTGCAGCCTCTGCTTCCCCGGAGGCCAGACCCCTCGCCTGGACCTCGGTGACCACAGAGGGGGAGAGGCCGTCCACACCCCTGTCTGCATGCAGTAATTGCTGTTGTTGTCTTGATTTGCAGACAGCATTGAAGCCAGCCTCGAGGCCGCGTCCTCACACACACAGGCCGCCAGCGAGCTCCTGGCTGGAGCCAGCCGGCACCAGGTAAGTCCGCAGAGGGCCATCCTGTGGCCCTTGGCCCCTCCTGTCCCTGTCCCCAGAAGGCTCAGGTCCTGACCTCGTCCAGGATGGGCGCACCCATGGGGTCTTCCCTGAGCGCAGAAGGACTGGTGGGGGAAGGTGGGGCGGGGCGGCGCCTCCAGGTGGTTGTGCCGCTCGGGTGTGCACACCCCTGAAGGCACCAGGGCCACCCCTGATGGGGGTCGGCCACGAGGGTGCTGGGCGTGCTGTGGTTCCCCAGGAGCCCTCCCGGAAAGCTCCGTCTTCTCTCTTTTCCTCTGAAGGGCAAGCGGGGTCTGTGGGTGTGTGCCGCCTTCCTGGAGGGCGGGGTCGTGGAGCTGGCTGCTTGACCCTCCGCTCCTCCACCTGCTGCGGACACCTGTGTGGTCTGCCTCTGGCCCTGACCTGGCCCCCGGCTAGAGCTGGGCAGCAGAACTTGGCTTGGGACAGGCGGCTGGCTCAGAGCGCGTGAGAACATAGATCAGGCCTTTGTTGGTTGAGACCCAGCTGAGGGCAGCCTTGGGGACGGACTGCCAGGCCTCCTTGCTGGCCTGTGGCCACCACCAAGGCTCGGCCTTGTCCTGCCGGGAGGGGCCCACAGCTGTCCTCCACCAGTCGGTCTCTGGCCCTCTGCTCCTTGCCGGGCCAGCATGCACTGAGGGCCTGCGTCCAGGCTAGGGCAGGGAGACATCCTGTCGGGGCTGCGGGCCCTGGGCCCGAGCAGGGCTGGCTCTCTGGGAGAGCACACTCCATCCCGAAGGTCAGCCCGTGTCAGCCTGGCACAGGGGACAGTGCACAGAGGCCAGAGTGGGGACAGGTGGGCAAAGGGTGCCCGCGTTCCCTGGGGCTCTAGGAGTCAGAAGCTGTTCTTGGGAAAGGGGTTCTGGCTGTCGTGGGGAATGTGAGGGTGATAACATGGACCCCAGCAGGGCTGTGGGCAGGGCAGAGGTCAGGAGGTGGAGAGAGTGCTGTGCTCCCTCCTCCTCTGCCTCCGGGAGCCCAGACGGGACAGGGGACCACAGGGCCTCGGACCTATGCTCTGCGGTGTGTGCGTGTGAGGGTGGGGGCGGCACCATCACTGCCGCCTTCTCTGTCAGAGGCCTGCGGACTCAGAGTCTGAGGGAGAAGGCCACCCTAGGAGAGGAAGCTGGGGTGCCAGGGTCTCTTCTTCAGGGTGGGGCCGAGGCAGGGCTGGGGGTCGTGTCTGCTGACACCGGCTCGGGGCTTTCTGCCCCAGCCCCCACCCACAGCTTCCAGCCCCGAGGGCAGCCAGGCCCTGCACCCCAGACTCCACCAGGTCTGGTCCTTCCAGGGCCCCCCAGGGTAGAAGGTGCAGGCCCCGTGTGATAGGGAAGGAGCTCATCGGAAGTCCCAGGGCCTGGCCTCTCTAGTGGGCGCTCGCCTGGCGGTGGTGCCTGCCAGGGTCTTCGCCCCAGAAAGCCTTGTCTCAGGGCGAAGCAGTGCAGGTGCTCCCTCCACGAGCACCATGGCCACCAGGTCGGAGGATGGGCAGGTGTCTGGACCATGGGAGGGAGGCCCGGGCCACGGGAGGGAGGCATGATGGGGGAGGCCCGGGCCACGGGAGGGAGGCGTGCCAGTGAGGAGGAGGAGGAACAAGAGGAGGCGATGGCACAGAAGCCCTGTGCCTGTGGACGCCTCATCAGGCTCAGACCCCGTCCCTGTTCCTGGGGTGAGGCTGTCATTGCCCCGTTCCATCCCCAGCAGTAACCCCTGTGCCATGGGCGGGATGGCGGGCTCAGACCCAGGAGGTACAGCCACAGTAATGTCCTCCACTCCCCCCACTCTGTACAATGTGTCAGGAAGTCTCCAGCAAGACAGGCCTCACCACAGCCCTGCAGGGCCATGGACACTGGTCGACTTGTCTCCACCCAGACAGTCTGGAGGGTGGAGGCCCTGCAGCCAGGCCTCCTGTGTGCAGATCAGGGATTTGAGCCCAGAGAGAGGCAGATTGGTTATGGAGCCTCGTCCGTAGGACTCCATGTCCCGGGCTTCTCTGCTGCCCTGGGGAAGTTCTGGGGCATCCAGGGGTGGACAGGTCGGGGCACAGACGGACAGACGGTTGCCTGGATGGACAGATGGGTGGCAGATGAATGGATAGACTGAGTATTGGAAAGGGACACGCAGGTGGTTGGATGGGTGGATGGATGGATGATGGGTGGACAGAAGCAGGGTAATTGGATGGGTGGGTGCGTTGAGGGTGGGTGGTGGAGAGACGAACAGGTGGGTGGATGGAGGAGTGGGTGGGTGGGTAAATGGATGGTTGGTCGGATGAGTGTAAGGAAGGATAGGTGGAGGAGAGAGACGATCAGACAGTGGAGGGATAGATGGATGAGCAAAGGAAGGGGTGGATGTAAACAGATGGACTGGATGGTGGATAGATAGTGGCCTGGCCAACATGGGTGGCTGGATGCGTAGGTGGCAGGTGGATGGGCGGACACGTGCGACACGCTGGCTGCCCCGGCTTCGGAGGGGCCAGGTTTGGCCCCACCCTCGGCATTATTGGGGGGGACTCGGAACTACTGACACTGGTCCTGCCAAGGGTCCTGCTGCCCGTCGCAGGGCACTGTGACCCTCAGATGGTGCCTGTGCAGAGGGACGGCCCAGCACCTCCTTGTCCCTTCTGCTGTGGCTCTGGTGAAGGCTCACCTTTCCTGTCTCCCCCTGCTAGCCGATGAGGAGGATGAGGCCCCCAAATGCCTGTGGCTGCCCTACGGACTCTGGATGGGCCGAGCCTGCCTGAACCGGACCCCGCGGACCTCCCAGGAGCCCTCCCTGTGCCCGCTCCTCACCCTCCCCACCCACCTTTCCCACTTTGGCCCCTGCAGCATCCACGTTCCTGGGGACTTTCCAGCCCTCCCCACCCTCCTCTGCACCACCCCAGCCCTGCGGGAGGCTCGTGGTGGCCGAGGCCTCAGAGTTTGAGCAGCAGCTGCTGGACTGCCATCGGCGGCAGGGCACCCTGCTGTCCTGCTCTCGCAGCAGAGTGTCCTCATGGCCCAGCACAGCCTGCCCTGCATGGCTGGGGCAGCAACCGTGGCAGCAGGAAGCGCATGGGTGCACAGCTCCCAGACCCTCAGTTAGACCCTGAGAATGTGGCTGGGCCAGGAGGGCCCCACACTGTGCTGAGTGACTCCTGGAAGCCCCTTCTTCCTGGGCATGTTGACTGGCCCGGAGCCGTCTCTGCTATGCGCCTAGGGTGCAGCGCGTACACGCACACGTGTTTCCTGGGGTGCGGCGCGTACACGCACACGTGTTCCCTGGGTTGCGGCACATACACGCACATGTGTTTCCTGGGGTGTGGCGCGTACACGCACACGTGTTTCCTGGGGTGCGGCGCGTACACGCACACGTGTTCCCTGGGGTGCGGCACGTACACACACACGTGTTCCCTGGGTTGCGGCACATACACGCACACGTGTTCCCTGGGTTGCGGCACATACACGCACACGTGTTTCCTGGGGTGTGGCGCGTACACGCACACGTGTTTCCTGGGTTGCGGCGCGTACACGCACACGTGTTTCCTGGGTTGCGGCGTGTACACGCACACGTGTTTCTTGGGGTGCGGCGCGTACACGCACACGTGTTCCCTGGGGTGCGGCACATACACGCACATGTGTTTCTTGGGGTGTGGCGCGTACATGTGTGTGTTTCATGGTACTGTATGAAGGGTATCATTTTATACCTGTTGATTTTTTTTTTACACAAAAATATATCTTCTCTGAGCTGAGATGACCAGGAAAGGCAGTGGCGGTGAAAGTGAAGGGGCGGCCGGTCCTGTTCTCGGAGCGGCTGCGCCCTGAGCCCCTCCTCTGTCCCTCACCTCTGGCCGCGTGCGCTGTCTCAGAGCTGGACCCTCCTGGCCTGGTTCCGCCTGGGTGGCTGTGGGCCGTGGGAGGGCAGGTGGCGCCGCACAGCCCCGGACCGTGCCCTGACCCTTGTGGATAACGCCTGTTCCAGGCTGGCCCCAGGGCACCCAGAGATGCCGGCCCCCGGCAGCTGAGACCAGGGTGTCGTTGCCCAGGGGAGGGCCGTGTTTACCGGGCCCCAGCAAGTCAGTAGTGGTGTCCACGGGAGAAAGCCCGCATGAGCTGCGTGCCCTCAGCCCTCCAGTGTGCCCGGTGCCCTTGCTCAGGTCGGCCTCCCTGGGAGCGCCCTGCTCCCCGCAGAGCCTGCACTCAGCACCTCTCAAGTCTGAACCTCACCCCAGATGGAACAGATGCACCTTTGTGCACTGCGGTGCCCACTGTGGGTGGCATCCACCTTTGGGCAGTGAATGCTGCTGTGTGTTCCAGGCTGACCCTGCCCAGCCCTGCTCTGGTCCCCGCAGGCTGCTGCAGGATGGCCTGGGGCGGTGTACACGTGGACCACTGCAGGGTGGCCTGGGGCGGTGTACACGTGGACTCCTGCAGGATGGCCTGGGGCGGTGCACACGTGGACTCCTGCAGGGCGGTCTGGGGCGGTGCACACGTGGACTCCTGCAGGGCGGTCTGGGGCGGTGTACACGTGGACCGCTGCAGGGCGGCCTGGGGCGGTGCACACGTGGACTCCTGCAGGGCGGCCTGGGGCGGTGCACACGTGGACTCCTGCAGGGCGGCCTGGGGCGGTGCACACGTGGACTCCTGCAGGGCGGCCTGGGGCGGTGTACACGTGGACTGGCTGCAGGGAAGACTGGGGCGGTGTACACGTGCACTGGCTGCAGGGCGGCCTGGGGCGGTGTACACGTGGACTGCTCACTCTGCGGCTCCAGCCCAGGCCCTTTTCTCTGTATTAAGCCTTTGGTCACTGCGGCGCCCTGCCCCCAGGACCGTGTGGTGGTGCTCAGGTGGCCGAAGGCAGGAGTGCCCTTCCTGGCCCTCACAGGGGCTCCACCAACATTGCCCCCCCCCCCACCATGCATCCTGCCTGCTGGTTCCTCTGGGTCTTTGCTGAAATTCCATCAGAGGATTCCTGAGCCTTCTCTCCAC